TAGGCACGCTTTGTTCCTCCTATAACTGGTAAATTTTACGCTGATCACTTTCATCTACACTCGAGAAAATGTCAGCATCGCTTCTTTTTGTCCTCGCGGGATTATTCACAATTATCCATACAGTTGATGTTGGAATGTTCGTCAATGCAGCCGTTAGCCGTTTCTTCTAAAGATACTTGCTTGCTGGCACCACGTTGAATAAAAGTCAAATAAACATTGTTTATAACTTCCTTAGTCTCAATAGAATAGTGTTGTCTACATTTGGGCGGGAGCATCTCCTGAGATACACTAGACTCGCACATATTTTGCATAATTCGCACACGGTGTATTACACACGAAATAAGAATGATTACTAATAAACTTAAACTAAGTAGTATACCAAACCAAAGAATATTAAACACAATTTTACCTGAATATAAATTCCGAAACTTTAGGTAATAATCTTGTTGCATTGTATGTTAATGACCACCCTTGGATAATCTCATTCAAAAGCAATTGGTCACTTTCTTATGTCTATGAACAGACCATAACTTATATTTACTTTAAGCAACCCAAGTTGGGATCTTTAAACAATAAATGTTACAAGGTTAGTTAAATTAAAGAAGAAATTGTATACAGCTGTGTTTGACGGTTAATGTTTATTTACTAATTTATGAGGTCAAACTTCTATATCCATTGCCGAAAATATGTCAAATACCCTGATTAACCAGGACTGACGCACTGTATTGAAACTGTATTTTCTATGCGTTTGCGAACATGAATGCTACTCGATGTAAAAATAAAATTCGCACAATTGCACTTTTGCTGCGGAAACAGGTAAAACAAACATTTGGCAAATTTTAAATATTCCACGTCATCAGAAAACTGGCGAAACGTGACCGCGTTTGGATTGTTTGCGCCGCCCTAGTTGTGGATTTTTCTTGGAGTACGTGTCCCAAAGCGAAATTAAAAAATATAAAGAATTTCTCCCGTTGAAATTTGCTTTCAATTTGACAAGGGGTGCGAATTGTTGCTGCCAGACACGTTACGCGGTAAATAAGAGGGAAAACATTTTTTAAAAACTAATGTGTAAAAGGGAGCAAATATGAAACCTGCTCTCTTGTTTTCAAACATATTTGTTAAAATTATTTATTATTTGTACTTTTAAAAGCTTCTAACTTTTTAATTTTTTGTTTACCTTAACATTATATTGCTGGAAACCAATTCAGTTTTAAGAAATGTAGCTATAATGAACTAAAAATTGAATTTATATTTGAACATACACGGTGGCGCAAAAGTGTGAAAACGTAACATATTTTTAAATTATAAAGATATAGGAGACCATAGGAAAACCTGTTTTTTTTTGTTTTACAATCATGGAGTTTTGGAGCTATCGTAATATATATTTTGTATTTTTTTTTTTGTATTGACAAGCATTTATTTAAATAATTGTATAATTGAAAAAAATTATTAATTCTATCTTGTGCAAAATCTATTAAAACATTTTATTCAAAATAGTGATAAATAAGGGAAATATAAAACTTTGCCGCCCTACTGCGCCATATAGACTTTTGTACTTTTACATTAAAGAATTCTGTTTATACGACTGTTCAATTTATTACTGTTTATTGTTTGTATTTTGAATTGTTATATCTGAATTATTTGCAAAACGTAGTTAAATGAACATTTCTTTCGTTCCTGACTCTGACATACCTAACACCTAATTTGTTACTCTTTGAATAGCTCCATAGATAAGGAAGATCATTTATTTTGTCCAGACCTCCCTTTCATTATTACGCTCTATCGCGCAGCTTCAATAAAAAAAATTAAACGAAAACCTTTTTTGCTTTTATGTGTTTGCGCCAAACTGCAAACATATGAACTACTTCGTAAAAAAAATATATAAAAAGTTCTAAAAGCCATCATTTTTCATTAGCGATAAATTATAAGCAATAAAAAAGTTTTAAATTTTATGATGCGTTATAAACTTTTTTAAATCCGGATCCGGTTAGTTTATAACCCGGATACTCCGGCATAAAATTAACATGACGAAACTTACTGCCCGGATTTGAAAACTTGAATCCGAAACATTCTAAATCAAAACAGTTTTCGATGCATTTTGTTTCTATATCTACCTTAATGAAATATGCTGTTCTACTCCCTACTCTAAAATATTCATCTCAGCACGAATCACAGGTGCAGAAAGTATCTTTTTAATATGTTTTACTCACGGTTGCCAGCCACTTGGACAATTCCGGTACTTTAGTCACGAGTTTGGATGGGATTTTTACATTTGTCACTTCTGACGAAACTCCACTCCACGTCGCTCAGTGAATGCAAAAACATACCCAATATCTCGAAGAAGAAATACATATTGGAATACATTATAGTCAAAACTTACCAAACTGACAAAACTCCACTCCACGTCACTCAGGCGTTATTTTGCAAAAATATACCCAATATCTCGTAGAAGAAATACATATTGGAACACATTATAGTGAAAACTTATCAAACTATTCATCCGTGATATTAATTTGTATTTATTAATTTTTATATAATTATTTGTTTACATTGTTACAATTAATTCATTAATAATTAATTTGTTATTTTGCAGGCTCGGTTATCGAGTTCATCGGTTTCGTTTCTGATTTGTAAAATTTACACTTTTTATTGGTCTTGTACTAGTTTTTCAGTTTTTTCATTTTTACTATAAAATTCTCACATTACGCAAAACCTAATTTTCTAATACTTAATAACGATTCTAATACTTAAACAACACATTCACATACTTTCATAAAATTTAAAAGTTGTAAACTGCCAAGTTATATGACAGAAATATTACAAAGCGCCCCATAAGTTTTCCGCCATATAGCCACAAGTGAGATTGTTCAACAAATGTGGCTGAAAAAGCTAGTAGTTAAAAGGATGCGCACAGTTTAAAATAAAACTTGATTTCCGAAAAAATGCCACAACAATTGGGTTAAAGTTACTAAATTCAAACTTACTATTTTAGCATTTTCAAAACTGTAAAATCCGAATAACTTTGAACCTAGACGACGTTCTCATACTAGGTGAATAGGTTTGTTTATTAGTTAGGTTGTTTATCGGTATTTTACTCTGCACAGTTTAGAAAATAATCCATATTATAATAAGTTTTACTTCTTTATTTATTATTGCAATTGCTATATTCAAACAACTTAAGTAACAAAAAAAACAATACACTATATCCTCACAATCTCTTAGCAACATGAATGACAATTCTTTTAAATTCAACAAATTAGACCAATATTACCAAGTAAGACAAAATAGCATTACTCTCGTATATTGTAACAATTTTGCTATTTAATAAAAAATGTGGAAGTTTAGTTCCTAAAGGATTTCTATTTTCAGCTCCTTTAGTAAGTCGCCAGCGAATCTCGGCGGCAAATAAAAAACAAATTAATAAGAACAAAAGGAAACCTTTCACGTTCTAAATAAAAAAGACTGCGTGAGTTTCGCATTTATCTAGGATCAAACAGAATCCTGAAGATTCTCGTTTTCAAAACCGCCATTCAGCGATCGCGTTATTGACGTGTTATGATTTGGGGTCAGTTTTTGGAGCAGTAAAGACTCATTCCTTACCTTTACGGCGTCGACGTTTGCTCTCAATAGCAAACATTTTATAGTGGTATGGTCCACACGAAGTCAGATGGACCATTGCAAAAACTGAAACTCGAATTCAAGACGGCATCTTCTGGGTATTGACGTACGAATTGATCACTTTCATTTTGTGTTTTGGAAATGAATAACTAGAACGGCAAAAGAGCTATTAAAATTGCATAGCCTTTCAGTTCTGAAAAATTCAATATTCAGTTTTTTATTTCTCGGTTTTGCTTTTTGATTGAAAAATGTTTTATTTCTTCCGATAGCATATTATATATTCTGGGCGTTCAATACATTTTCTGTGCTGCAGGTCTAAACATATCATTTATCTAGTGCTATATGGGTGATCTTCTAAATTTGCTTTGTTTAGTATTATTTAAGAATTTCTTAGCAGAAGCCTTTTGTTTTTGTAGAATATGACCGGTTTGAGATTGGTGACACTCACCCCACCCCGACTTAAAATGCTGCAATTGTTTGACTAAACCACTGTAACCAATCAGTAACTGTTTGATGAATGATTCATCTCAAAATACTAGTTTTAAAAGGCAGGGGACTAATCCATACATCGAACGGTGGTTATTTGAATACCCCTTATAATTTATTTTATGAATATCAATATTTGTTGCCAACACCAGCCAACAAAGAGTATTTTGAAGAATGAGCAAAAAACTACTTTTTAACTATATTAAAGAAAAAAGTTTCACATAATTTGTAATCCTGGACATATTTTGTTTGCACCGAAGCTGTAAGTATTTATTGTTGTTTTTTTAACATAATAAATTACTGACTACTTTAGATTACTTTTGTTAACTTCTTAAGATATTTTGTGGTATTTTGTGAATTATTCATTATGGGAAAATTTAATTTTTTCTAGAAAACAAAAAATTAGTAAATGAATTGAAAATTGTAAATTACTGTGAAATTGTTATTTTTATTTATTGGCAAAAAATTACCCAAAACAAAAAATTAGTAAGTAAGTCTAATTTATTACTGAAAATTATAAGGTAAAATGTGACCACGGCGTTAAAATCTCGCAAGAACTCCCTTTAGATTAGAAAAATTTCCCAAATAAAAATTAAAATTTTGCCCCCTGTTAGATCACAAAAGTGAATTTGCGTTTTACTTTTCCAAGATCAACCCCCCCATTTAAATTTATTGCGCTGCCGTATACTCCAAACAGCGATATTTACCGACGGTGAACCTTTTACACTATTAATGCCCCTTGGGGGGTAATGTTTAAGAAGAACCGTTTTTACCGGTCAGATCAGATCTGACAGGCATCGCTCTTTAGGTAAATTCATGCATATTCATACAAAACAGTAGCGCACTTGTGGATTCAAAAAAAAACTGGCAAAAAATATCGAAGAAAATCTCTCTACCTTGGCAATATTATTTTCTGTACTTAATAAGGGTTCCTTCGAGAAGCGTGTTTTTTACCCAAAAACTTTTGCGTTGTCTGAGACGCCCGACCGGTATATGAACGTTTGTCCGCGTCGTTCTACGACGACGTCCCGTTAGATACTGAAGGGTGCTTGGTCCAGACTCTCGGATGCTGTAAACTTTGCGCATAATTCAAACAAATGGTTCGCGAAATGTTTATTTAAATGGCAATTTTATTGTTCCTCGATTGGGAATCTGCTGAAAAATGTTTTCTTCCACCGCGTCTACACGTTGTAGGATGTGCTTTGTGAATTTGTGAATTGCTCTCATCATCGTCTGCTGCCGATTTGGATCTTGAAATAATCTACGACGTCTATTTATAGGAGTTTTTTTTTTGGGTCACTCACGCCTTGAATATACAGTGTGCGCCAACTAAGACGAGAAATAAGATTACTCGTCCGCAGGTTAAAAAAAAAACTTTTTACATAGTTACTCTGATATAAAGTTTGTAGGCTCGTAAGCTGGTAGATTGGCCAATATAAACGATAAACAAAAAATATAATTTTTTAACATATTTTTGTAAAAGACCGAAACAAATATTGAAAAACCAAAAATATACGATTGTGAACCAATTTTTTTCATAAATGTTTCAGAAATTAGCCATAAAACAGTTCGCATACAGTTTGCATACACTGTGCTACAGTCAGTGATGGTCTTTTTCGAAGATTATATTTACCAGTTCTTGAGAATTCAATAACAATTTGGGAAAATTTTTGTTGAGCTGAAATCAGTTATATAAATAAATATTTTTATGTCTTCACAAACATATGAAAATAAAATGTTTGAAACATTTGATAAAGACACGGTGTTGTCGAAACAATTGTCATGTCAAAATATATAATTTCGTGAAAATCTGAACCTTTAGTTCTTATTTATTTGGAATTCTTTAAGTGTTGATGACAATTATTACGTTAAAAGCTATATCTAATTTATAATTAGGTGCTTATTTCTTCCACCTATCATTTTAATTGGATGTAGCTAATTTACCATCAGTAATTTCTGAATATTCTGTTCTATTCTATAACATTTGAACATGCATCTATATCATTGTTTTAACAAGAGTCCGACAGATGTTATATTGAACCATGTTAATGGTGTTGCGACTCTTGTTTTCTTTGAACGAAGAGATTGACTAGAACCACAGTGCTGATATGATTTGCGGTGCTTAAAGGCAGTTTGAAAAGCGTATATTTTTTTGGGGAGTATTTTGTTATTTGACGTACAGAGCATAATTGCGATTTTATTGTTTTACGATTGAAAACCCGCATCGCTAACAATGTTAACATTGAAAAATGTGTTCGTCCAGTGCATTTACACCGCTGTAGAATGCGCGTGATAATAGACTCATCGTCGAAGTATGGCTGACTATTCTTTGTAAATAAAATGTTTCAGGTTTATATTTGAACGGGATATATTTGTGCATTGAGTCGTCTTGCACCAATTGCCTAATTATGTTTCATGGCAAATCGGGCAATTATTTCATGATAAAATGACAAATGCGAGCATTTTATCAATTTAGTATGAAGTTCCAATAATTAAAGCTTTTCGAACACTAAATTGACATAGACAAAAGTATTATGGATATGCATTGCAATACGCAAAATGTAAAAAGACATGCCACATATTAAACTAGTGACTCAAGCATAGAATAAATTCCAGTTTCCATAGATAGGAATGGCAAAAAGTCAGTAATCCTCTCTAGTCCAGTTCAGCTGAGTGCAAATATTTCTTCTCTCATTCTCTCTGTTTGTCTTTCCCTCTACGAAAAATATTTGTTTTTACAATTTATCCCGCTAGGAGTTTTTGCTGCAATTTTTCATATTTAGTTGGCCACGACGTGTCTTATGCAATCCAATTTTATGATGCGCAGAAAATGAACGCAGTTTTTGAAAACGAGTTACTAAAGAAGTGGTTAACAGACATGCAAAGCGAGGCAAATGCGTACCAGGAGCCTATGCTGGAAGAATATACCGTCAGTATGATAAAAATTGCTTGCAACACGTTTCGTCAAGATTTCCATGTTTTTTGTATATCGGCAGACATTCTCGAGAAATATATTCATGTGAAAAACGTAAGAGGCGAAAAAATTAAGGATCCCCTACTTCTTGTCTGCGCAGCAATATTCGTCACGAGTAAATATTCCGGTGGAGGAGCAGATCTTAAATTACCAATTATCGGCCATTTTCTCAAAAAACTAACCGGTAAAGAATACGATTTACACTTGATCATGTTAATGGAGCAAGATGTCTTGCATGTATTGAACCATATGCTGCCTGTTACCACACAACTCGACGATTTCAACGTTTTTCTAGAAAACTGCAAGAAACAATATCGCTTGAAATTAACCATAAGACCTCTGTGTTTGGAAATAATGCAACTGATGTATTTGGAAAAAAAAATCTGGTTTAATAAATTGAAACAAATGTACAAGAATGAGTTGAAGATATTCCACGATTTAATGTGTTCAAAATTCTTTTTGCCAGAAGGGATTTTAATTGCTGCTTTTCAACTAACCCATTACCAATACATCTTAGATATAAACGGTATGTTGCAAGACCTGATGAAAGTTACAAACATCCATCCTGATCATGTGCTCGCCCTTAGTGCAGTAATTTTACACCTTATAAGGGATTGATTGTTATTTGTTTGTTTATAAAAAGTAATGTACACATATTACTAAAATGCTGTATTTTTTCACTAGTACAATAACTTAACTACATAATAGTTTCTTTTTCCTACCCTAAACAAGGAGACTTTATTGGACAACATATGAGCATTAATATTAAATATTTCGCTAGGATTTTGGACTTTCCTTTGATTGATAGAAAAACCACCGGCAGAAATGATTCTCACAGCATCTTCTGCAAAGGAAAAAAATAATAAATCTATGTCTCAAAAACTTTGCTAGTCTTACGGATTGTTGGAAAACAACCAGCCTCCATGGATATATCCAATATACTCTGACCTGCTTTTGGCAAAATCTCGACAACTGTTGCACCTTCAAACAACTTTGCAATTTCTTCAGCATTCATTTCGCCTAATGCCTCAACACTACCAGAATAAAGAGCTTTGGCAGCCTTTTCGGCCTTTAGAAGTCCCTCCTCTCCATGGACAAGCAAAGTCATCTGCAGCACAATAGAAACAGACTCTGTCCATCAAATTCATAATAAATAAATAAAATGCAAAAACAAGTTTCAAAAAGAAAATATAGTTTTTTATGAAGACAAACAACATGATTCATATTACCTTCTCGGAAAGTTTTTTTTGTGGTAATCTGAGCTCAGGTGTTTCCCGATGTCGCCTCATGAGATCTGAAATACTTCCTACTGTATCAAATGTAAAAAGTTTTAGAAATTTTTCAACTTCAGAATCAGGCTGTCTGATCCAAAACTGGTAGAAGGTAAAAGGTGATGTTAATTCAGGATCTAGCCAAACAGCATTCCCTGCAGATTTCCCGAATTTATCACCCATTTCTGAAGTAACTAAAGGAATTGTCAAACCTGAAACATATGTCTCTGTGAAAAGTAATATAACTTTCTTGAAAATATACCATAAACTGGTTTATTATGAACTTTGCTAATCAATTCATGGCCACTCATAATATTTCCCATTTGATCATTTCCCCCAATCTGAAATGAGATTCACACACCAAATGATAACAATATGTTAATAACTTACCTGAAAACAGCATTTATGAGTCTCAAATAAATGTAACCAATCATGTGCTTGAAATAATTGATAACTAAACTCTGTAAAGCTCATTCCAGCTGAAGACTTAAGCCTGGTTTGTACACTACTTCTTGAAAGCAATGTACCCATCCTTAAATGCCTACCTGACTTGCCTATTAGCTCTGTGGCTGATATTTGTTTATACCAATCATCATTATTCAGTACCCTTAAAAAGAATGATAGCAAATAACACTTTATATTATAAAATATGAGTTGTATTCTACTTTATTGGTTTCAATTGGTCTTTTCCATTCCACAAATATTTCTCATGATTCTTAAATATAGTTTCTATGTTCTTCTTTAGGCCTCCAATATTTTCTTCAATCGAAATATGAGACATGGCCTCTCTTTCAGTTGATCTACCACTTGGGTCTCCAATGTGAGCAGTTGCACCACCTATCTAACAAAAAGCTTAAACTAAGCGTTGAAACTTTAAGTTTAGTACATACCTACCACTGCAATAACATTATGACTCCCTCGTTGCCAATGCAAAAGATTTATTAAAACTAGTAAATTTCCTACATGTAAACTTTTAGCAGTGGGATCAAAACCTGCATAAACGGTTTGATTATTTGCGTTCATTATATCGGTAATAATATTTCTAAAAATTAGAAGTGTGAAAGTGTGTGAAATATTATGTCGCACCAAACATTAGCTTACGCAGCATTGTCAGGAAATAAATCTTGTATTATGCCCCTATCTTTTATTTTTAATATATTGCGATTTGAGTAAAACCTGCAAAAATAAACTGTTCGATTAAAACCCTTAATGATCATTTTAAATTTAGTGAGTCCAAAAATTAGGTTAACTACCGTGCAAAACAGTAAAGGAAAGTTTATGTCACAGAATACCATTTTTTTGATTAGAACTATTTTATCCTGCCATCTGTTTTCTTCATTATCGTATCATTCATATCAGAACTTTATATCAAAGTATAGTAAAAAAATGTTGTTTCTGAAAGCACATTAAAATCATAATTGAAATTTACTGCTTATTGAAACAGGTGCCTACATCACATGGAAATACAATAACATATAAATACTCAAATAAATAAACTACTCCTATTCAAATTGCGAACGAAATTTTTTACCACTTATAAAAAGCAATTTTTGATAGATAATATGCAATTACTCTTATCTACTTCATGCAATTTTAATTTTTAAGCATTTGGACTGATAATATAAAATTCTTTATTTCGATAGAAATATTGTACAAATGTATTGTATGAAAAAAACAGTTCAGTGCCATTATGCGAAACGATTATTGTAAAGGTATGATGTAAATGTTAGCGCGCAGAGAAATAGAATTTAATACAATAATTTAAAAATTATTTGGGATTTGCAGGAAATATTCACAAATTAATATTTCCGTTTACGTTAGGGTTAGGTGATACACCACAGTGTAAAGCTAAGTATCTTTTATTCTTTAGCGAGAAATATAGAAAGTTTATTATCTGTGAAGCTGATTCTTTTAATTGGTTTTATTCTCTGTGCATCCTCAATTTGAAATAAAAAACAATTTTATCAGATTAGTCTTTAATTTCATTAGTTGCCTTTAAAGGGTTTGTATACAATATTTATACATCTTTATTCTCTAATTAATGGGGTAATAATTCTAGGTATGGTAAATAGTGCTTCCCTGAAAGACTGTTTCTTTTATAAGGACAAAACCTTCCGAGTTAGGTATGTGTTAACAAGATTAGAAACCTTGCAAAAATAGTATAAGGTACAAATTTTCAAAAAAATCGTTAAAAAGCGTGATTAAAATATTTGTTTTCTTTACTAGTATACAATGGATGAACCAAAAGGCGCTACCTACAGAACAATACCAGCCTGCGTATATAGAACATATAGCAAATATTATTACACATGGAATATGGATATTTCCTAGTATTCTGGGTGCTGTGGAACTATTTCAAAGGTCTCAGGATAGAGCCCAATTTGTATCGGCTGTTATCTATGGATTAACATTAATTCTCCTTTTTTCTGTATCCACTTTCTTTCACTGTACATTTTATTTGAGGCATTACAGGTTAGTATACTGTTTTAAGTACCACTGGTAGTTGAATTTCAGTTTGAGATGTTTTAATATACTTATTATTTTTTTATTTAGCATATTAAAGGAGCTACTCCATCGCTGTGATAGGGCTATGATTTATATTTTCATAGCTGGTTCTTACTTCCCCTGGTTAACCATCGAACAAATACCAAATAATGGGTGGGCTTCCTCAATGAAATGGTTTGTCTGGGTAATGGCTCTTATGGGAATTACTTATCAGCAGATCTTCCATGAAAAATATAAAAGACTGGAAATGATATTTTACCTTATTATGGGTATTTTTCCTGCAATTCCCATAATCTCAGAGGTGAGTTTTGTTTGATCAGAAATAAACATAATTAAACAAATACAAATATTTAAGTTCTAATCTTGATCAGCCAATTCTGTTTTTAGCATTACTTTGCAGGGTGGATGGAAATATTTACGGGTGGGACTTTATATTTAATTGGTACGATATTTTTCAAGTGTGATGGAGTAATACCCTGTGCCCACGCAATTTGGCATTTATTTGTTTCAATGGCAGCATACTGTCATTATTATGCCATATTAAATTATTTATATCCTATAATCAACATTAGATCTGATAAGTTAAACTATTAATTTTGTTTCAACTGTGATTAGATAAATTTATTTTTTTATTAATGTTATATATGAATTGACTTTATTTTAGTCCTGTGCTAGAGTTTTTTCATTTAAAATTAGTGTTAAAATGTCATTGTGATTAGCATAACTAACTAGGTCACCAAAATTTAATGGTAAACTTTGGATAGAAGAAAACAATGTGTTACAATTACTATAAGCTTGTCGCTTGGAACATTAGTTCTGAAGAATGTAATAGTTCCCAATATAAAACGACATTAAATTTACAATTAATAGAAATAAAAAAATTGAACACATCTTATAGTAGGGACTTTAAATCTAATATCATAATTTTTAATTTTATATCCCAATTAAGTTGCACCAGCAAAATAATAGCTCCACTTAAGATATTGATAATTTCAATTTTAGGCAGAAACTTCCTGCTTCATTTAATATGTATATTGTGATATAAAATATTGTTTGTGAATGTCAGTCATTTAGAACATTAATTAATTTAAGACAATGTAATTGATTAACTAAACTTGGATTTACAATTTTTAAAAATATTTAAGACCCAAAATATGCCGCCAATCGATTAAATTGCAAATTTTGTAAGGGCAATTATAGACATAGGTGTGCGTTTTTTATCTAACACTTTAGTTTTTCCTTGAATTCGAATAGCTACTGATTGCCCATTAATAATTAACTGATAACAGTCTCCATTATCATAAAAATGGTTAATCAAAAATTGGTATATTGTTTTTTTCTATGTTCCTTATTAGCAACAATATCTTTAAATGAGGGGAGAACGACTGACTTAAAAGGAAAATATATTTTTGCATTGAAATGAATTTTTCGCAACTGCCAATGAAACTTCCAGTAAAGTGTTTTTCCACAGTATCCGTATTTAACCATAATTATGATTTATTAAGGTATATCTAGGGTTGTGGAATTGACGGGTCAAAGTTTTTGTGTCAATTGACCAAATTAATTTTAAATATACTATGAAATTTATATTTATTAATTTATATTGTGTCTTACACCACCGTCGCGTTGTTCATAATAACGCATAATAATTTATTATAAAATACATATTAAGTAATCATAGAGAACACTCTACAATTGCAAGATGTTACAAGGACGGGCAAAAAATTTAGGTCACTCAAGAAATTACAAATATTTTGGAAAAAAAAGTTTATCACGAACTAGTAGGTGGTAAATTATCTGTCCTACTCTATTTGGTTATCCGAATTTAACATTTAATCGGTTGGTTTTCATGATTTTGTCAGAAAACAGAAAATGTCTATTATAAACCAAGCCCAAATTAATTTTTATTTGTAACTAAAGGAACGAGTAACAATTCCGTTCTGGTCGATTTTGTTCGATTCCTGCATAAGTAACTCTCTCAGCTCTTGGACACTTCTTGTTGCTGCTGTATGTGTTAAATACGTCGTCTCTTCTCATCCCACACTTTTGATGGGATTCATATCTGGACTGAGTGCTGGCCAATCAAACCGTGTTATTCCCACTTATCTAGGCCACACACCCCACTTCTGGCGGTGTGGGGTCTAATATTATCATGCGTCAAAATGATATCTTCACCATAGTGATCATTAAAGGCATAGCATAATCATCCAGAATTTCCGTAATATACCTGTGAGCTGTCAGAGAGCCATTCTGTATAAAACACAACTCTGTGCGTGCTTCCGAACTGGTTCCCGTCGTAACCATAACCGAACCACTACAATGTGGAAGTCTTTCATCAATATAGCCTGGAGCATATCTTTCTCCGGATCTCCTCCTAACTCGGCGACGTCCATCTGATCCAGTAAGGCAAAAACGAGGTTCATCGGAAAACGCAGCATTCATAATCATTCCAGTCTAAGTGCTTTCGAGCAAAAGTTAATATTGCTATTCAATGCCGTGTGTGCAATGGCGACAAGACAACTCACTCTCTCACTCTTGAAGTTGGATTCGAAGTCAAACAACAGAAGCTGTCCTATTCCGCAAACTAACGGACACTAAAAATCGATCTTCTTCGACCGGATCCAAGTCTTCTAGTGATCAAGCCAGTTTCCTCGTAGCGTTGGTATACATTTGGACAGCACTTAGACTTCTACTAACAATTCTGGCAGTTTACCGTTTTCCTCGACCATCTTGTATTAATGCTACACTTCTGGCCGCAACAATAGGATCTAAAGGCATTATGACCAGTTAAATACACGTCACATCCAAAATAGACCAAACAATTTTAATGAAGATAAATGAACAATAAACTGGAAAGTACCTAACGCACGAATTTTTTTAAGTGGACGCTGACAATAACTGACATATAACAATCTCTATCTGCGTGTCGGAAAGCAAGTAATTCACTGCCTACTGAACAGACGATTCGGTGTTCAAAAAAAAAATTCCAAATTATTTGAGTAACCTATTTTTTGCTCGCCAGTGTACTTAAAACATTTTGATTGAATTTGACTAGTCACTTAAGAAGTGGTCAATTGACCAGCCCCAACACTAGGTATATCATTGCTTCCGCATCATCTATTGAATAAAATCCGTCACTTCCTAAACCGAGAACTATTATGTTCCATTTTTATTGCGCCCCATGGATGTTCATAATCAAAAATTTACCTAAATGTTTCAATGTCGAATGTCTAGGTGTTAATAAAATAATAACCAAACTGAATGAGAAATTGTTTTATTTATAATTATATACAGAGAAAAAAATATTCACAAGGTCTACTAAAACAAGATATATATCCTATGCATGTAAAAGTACGTAACGACTAATGAACAATTGTGCACATGCAGTTAAGCAAGCGGGTTAGATTATTATTTTGCTTAAAAAAAAAAAGAATGAAAGTTACCTTACTGGGGAAGTATTCCCAAAAAAACGCGTCAATGAGTATTAAATAATCTTAACAAAAAACAAAACAACAAATCTCCATATACAAATAAAGAAATTTAAAAAAACATTGAGACTGGTACGTAAGCTGTGCTGAATTATTCTAGTTTTAGTAATACCTAATATTGGAAAAGTTATTGACAAAATAAATATACATCCAGTTTAAAAAATTTCAGCAAACTTTGAACAAAGCTTTCGCGCAAACTAACCCCTAGCAAACTTGGCACACTTAGTATCGCTAATTCCCACATGTCATTTAAATACCATCATATATCGTACCATCCATTTTTTAAACATTTTATAGGTAAGATCGCCGAAGTTTGCCGAAATCCCTTAGTAACCCCTTGAGCCCTTCTCGAAAATCGCTATTATTAGACTTCTTTAAACAAGCTTAAAAAATATACATCTATGAAGTTATTGGATAAAGCTAGTGCTGCGCATTGAAGTCCAAAAGCGTCTAAGATTATTGTAAATTAAACTAAATCACCGCTAGACTGATCATTATAATATCACATAGAAAACAGAATTGTACATTAGATAATTTAAATTGTAATCTCTAAGAGAGGGAAGAATACCTATTAAACGACAAAAATAAGTTAACTAGTTAAATCGGTATTCAACTTTTAATCAAAACAACTTTTTTTTTAATCCTATCGTTATCAATCGCCAATAATCGTTACAAAAAAAACTTACATCTTACGATTGACCAGCAAAATAATTGTTTCGACTGCGAAATTATGGATGGGAACCAACAGAAAGAACCTGTCGCCGTGAAGCTCGATCCACCTGAATGACGACGCATTCTGACCCGCGTGGATGTATTTTTTTTTAAACTTATGTCAAAGGATTTGGCGAACCTTTAGCGGCACTCCCACACCTTCACAGTTTGATCGACACTACCCGAAATTACATATGGATGAGACCGATGAAAATCTGCAACAAAAACGAAAAGAAAACTTGCTTTTTTATCTTATCCTGTGAACAAAAAAAAGGAACATTTACTGGGGAATTTTGTTGTTTGAAAGAGCTAATATTTGCATTTAAATAAGAAAATTTTAACTATGCAGCAGAGTTAGTGAAACCGGGCGCAATTTAATTTCTGCCACCACTTAGGACCAGCAATCAAAAAAAGCGATACATACCTACTGAAGTGCAAAAATGTTTATGCGCATCCAGCGTCTTCATGCAACGTTTGTTCCTTAAATCCCACACTCGCATCGACTTATCATCACTGGCCGACACTAAAAATTTACCTCCCGGATGAAATACCACGCCCCTTACCCAGTTGTCGTGAGCGGTCAACACAAATAAAGCGATCCCGGCTCCCACGTCCCAAATCCTAAAACAATATTTCAATATTCAAGTCAACCGCAAAAATCAAATCTGGACATGTCGTTCCACGAGTTTGACAAAGACAAATGCTGAAAACATTTTTGTTAAACATCATTGCCTCAGAGCAACAGTGAGACAAATGCAAAATTCAATTCAACTATGGATAAGTTTATCATAATTTTATTTAAAAGTTTATCATTTACTATATTTTTGAATTTAAGTTCCCAACAAACTTAACTAGCAATCAACCAATAAAGAATAAATCAGTTATAATTAGAATTCTGCCATATTCATTCTGAATTTTCTCAATTAGTTGTCTTAAAATGTCCATTTACCTGTAGCTTTTTGGGATCCAATTGTTATCACACCACCTTACTAAGCCTTGTTTATTATTATCTGGAAGATTGGATGGTTATTAAATATTATACTTTATTTAGGTATAATAAAATCACATTAATACTAATAGAAATACCATAATACTAAATATATATACAAACTATCAATAATTGCCTAAATAAGTACATTTTAATACAAAATCTAATTCTGTTTCACTCTCAGAGCTGCATTAAGATTAATTACATTGAGGTTTATATTATTTTGCATGTGAAACTTTAAATTTTAAAATGTGTTATCTGTAATCAGCGCAATTCCGTTACCACTTGTTATTTTGTCTATTATAAATAATAAAGGGAAGGGGAACACTATTGACTATGGGGTGAGAGTACTCAAAAACCAAGAAGATGTTTTTTGAAACACACTATACAAGGTTTTTTCATCGCTTTAAAACATTCCTGTGTAAAAGATATCTTGTAAAATATTTTGTTTGCTCCACCGTTTTTTTACTCTTATCATTTTTATGTCCTTCCATGTGACCCTCTGGTCTTCTTAATTGGTATTAAAGTTGCCAAAGTTCAAAAAAATATTTCATGGATCCCGAAGGTAGTGAAATAGTGATGTGGTTTATCCCAGTGTACTCCTAATATTACAGTGGGGTATGACTTTCGTCCCAACAAATCAATAAATATTCCTATTAATTTTGGATTTTCACAAAACTTATATACAATATGACATATGACAGGGCACACCATGATTAAAAAATTTGAGACCTTGGCTATTTGCGGTACTTTATTGCAACTGGTTAGAAAGTTCCATCACTGCATGGTCCCAGATGATTAACTTTAAATTTTCTCAAATTTTAGTCTAATCGGGCGTCCCCCAGGGCTCTCACCTGGGCCCCCTACTATGTAACTTGATCAATAGCATTACGCCGTTTTAAGCATAGTTTTTCCTTCTTTTGGCTGACGATCTGAAACTGTTCTCAAAAATAACCACTCAAAATCACTGTCACTTGAGGAAGACGGGATATATTTGGAGATGCTACTAAACTCCAACTTAAACAACTTCACATGCTGGGGTTTGTTAGGCACACACAGTACAAAGGACTTCTCAAATTTTAATGCCATAAAAACATTGTACTATTTCTGTGCACATTTAGAATATGCTGCTAGTGCTAGTTTTCAAGTGTTTAAGGGACTTAAAATTAATTCAGAGACTGATTAACTCTACAATTGACTGCCTTTCGTTAATATTGAGGAATGGTCTACATGTTTCATTACGAAACACTCGTGCTATATGAACAATTCACCAAAAGTTCCATAGAACTAGCTATACTTATCACTCAATCATCTCTCAAACCATCCGATTGTGCAACGAATTAACCGACTTATATTTTTTCGTACCCAGTGAGTAATTTACGCGGACTGGCCTATTATTATAGTATCTTAAGATCTGGCCTCTCTATATTATTGTTGGTCCCTTTTGTATTGTTTTGTTATAACCTTTTCTAACTACACATTTTGTGAATTGTTATCACTCTTGAAACAATGAACAAATGTGCTTGACTCGTCAATAAATCAATAAATAAATAAATTAAGACACATTGCTCTATTTTATTATCATATTTAACTTGTCTCACTGTTGCACTGAGGCGATGGTATTTCAAAAATTATTATAAATCTTTGAAGAAATTTTAGTATTTTCCCCAGGATTTAGGAATATTTTGCTGGGAACCTTGTTTAATTACTAAATAAATATCATAAAAACAAACCTGATAGTTTTGTCTCTGGAGCCGGAGGCCAAAAATGGACCCAGATGGACTCCCTTTTTATTATCGGCTCCAGCCGCTTCGTTAATAGAACCGGCAGCCGACTCTGGCGCCCACGCGATACTTTCGACGACGTGATCGTGGGCCCTCAACTCACTGCGGCACTCCTTCGAAGAAACAATCCAAATCCGGATAGATTGATCGTTGGAACAACTCGCCAATAGAGATCCATCGTGCGACGGTCTAACCATTCTCACCTATAATCGAAACGAAGCTAAAAAATGAACAGCGACGTGGAGGAAAGAAAATGCGCACCCACTCTCTATGGCCGGTGTAAGTTTTCACGCAATAACCCGTGGAGACTTCCCACATTTTGATGGTTTTATCGCGACTCGACGATACGACAAAGTCGCCGGCGGGCATGAACGCCACACTGGACACGTTGTGATCGTGGCCTAGCATTGTCCTGATGCAATCGAAACTTTGTTGAAAATCCCACAGTTTGATACTCATGTCCGAACTGCAAGACACCTATAAAAATCGCATACTTATTTAACGTTCCAACGAATAAAATCCAAGGACATTAAGATGTTAGACAAAATGTTTAGGGCACAATTGCAATCACATTCCGTGCCGCATTCTAAAGTCTTTTATTTTTGCAAGGTAACCACACCAACTTTATTATTATTAAAAAAGGTTAGCTCAAGCCCTTGCTTTGAAAACACTCAAAAACAGCGATTCTTATATTGATAATTTTTAAGGTCATTGGATACTTACCAGCAATTTTCCAGATGCGTCGAAAGCGATATCTTGCAAGGGATCGGTATGACCTTTTAGGGTTCTTTCATACTCTCCAGTTTCAAAGTCCCAAACTTTCATGGTCGCGTCTTCGCTCGCCGAAACCATAAGGCTAAATACGGGATGGAATATAACCCGAGTGACTGGCGCTCGATGCCCTGAAACAGTAGAAAACTATAGTTTTAAAATGAAATCAGGTTAACAAAAAATAACTGTTGCTCAAGCACAATTATATTTACAAAAAGTCTTCAAAAATGTCTTTTACCGGTCAGTGAAAACTTCTCTGGCGGCCGTGGTATCCATTCCGCCGGACTCCTTTTACCCCTCGTCGGCGCCCCCTCTATGTACTCTTTTTCCACCTCGTTCAGTTTCGACTCCAGTTCCATCACTTTTTTCTGTAGTCGGATAACGGAAGTCCATTTCTTCTCCAGGAGTCCGCCGAACTTTCGTTCGACCTCGCCCGGCATGTCCGCTTCCTTTTTGAAAGCATCGAGAGCTTCCGTGTAACCGTTACTGTTCAAATAATCAGCGATGGCTTTATTACTGAAATATATAAGAAATACCACTTGTTTTAATGTGAAGACGTTTTGTTGTTTGATTGTTTACTCTCTAAGAACAATTGCAGACATGAAAATCACAAATCGTTAAGTGAGTGAACTTTGGTTTTCAAAATAGATCATCAATTACAAAACGAAATTAGTAACGAAAGGGCAAAATTGATTTCATCCGGGCAAGTCAACAAATACAATTCAAGACACACTATAATTCGCAAACTCTTATTGGATAGATTGTTTGTAAGAGTTCTGATACTTCGAGTCTGACAATAGAGAATGCCACAGGGATCCGTTCTGTGTCCGTTATTTTTTATTATACAGTAGAATTGCTCAATATCGACCACCCTTGAGGAATCAAATGATTTTAATAAAAATTCATTATAACGTAAACCGAACATTATTCCCATGTGCTGTGTCTCAATTAACAGAAAAAATAGAACATTTATTATTCTATCAATTTTCTTGATAACTTGTTTAGATGTGTGACTAGACGAGTCTTATAATTATTTATTGTGATTCAAATGATGAATAACTTAAATTAAAATTAAGACCTGCCGTAACCCTGTACTGGGTAATTCAAATTTGACTCCCACCATTTTTTTAATTTTGATTTGTCGGGGTGATACTGAAAATTGAAGATTTCGACATTTTTTTCCGCCGCTATCTGATAAGGTTCGCAACGTTTATAGGCGACATATTGGATTTTTAAACCTAAAAATAGGGGATTAACGAGTTAATTTATTGGTGTCGATAAAACGTATCGCAAATCTAAATCCTACTCTATATCGACGTCGTCGGCGTCGCCGTCGCGTCGTCCTGGCCTCTTCAAATCAATAAACAACACCCTGACGTCCGACGACGTTGTTAGGGTCCAGAATACCAACAATCGGCAATGTCAATGTCAGGCAAAGGAAAATGTGGACTGCGGAAGAGATTTTAATCACAAAATAAACATGCGAAGAACGTAAACAAAACGGCGACAAAGCAGTATTTTTCTGCGATAACAAAAATTTTAATTGAAAACTATATATTATTTCTTTTTAACACTAGTGTTAAAATTAACTAACACTACTGAGCGGTGTCTTAAAATGAGATTTTCGATAAATGCTGTTTTCAATAGTGTTTCGATGTTCTGTTTCTTAATATGAGAGGGTTAAAAATCATTATTGAACTGTAAAACTTGGTGTGTAGATATACCAGATGACACAAGAAAATTGGAACACTATAACTTTTAAACGACAGGAACTTTCGAATTTTCAATGACACAATCTATATTTTTTTGCATTTTTCGATTCAGGAGATCATTCTACGTAGAATAGGACGTTTTGTTTATTTAAATTTTTATTTAATTTTTGAAAATTGTGTCTTAAGAAGCTGTGACAATCATAAATAATATTTACCGGGTCACCTGATCATGGGAAACCAGTACTTTTTTGCAACATTTTGACACCAAAATTTTCAAAATACGTAAAAAAATAACCTCATAGGAAAAAATACATTTTTATAAAAATAAAATATTACTTAGGTGGCTTTGCTTCTATTCATTAATTGTCAAGTCGGTAAGATTAAAAATGTAGAAGAAACTCTCGACAAGCTCATGCAGTGGAAAGAGGAAACCCGATAAGTATTTAAAAAAAATAAAAAAATTCAAGAGAAAGTTTTTTCTTTGAAAGTGTTATATTATGGTAAAAAGTTGATATGCTTTTGTAATACCGGGATACAGTCAAAATCTAACGTAAGTATTGTATGTATACGTGCGTCAGAAGCTACAAGCACTTTTTACCGGAAACTTAGAAGAAGAAGAGAATACTTTTTTTTTCTTTTCAAATCTGTCACTTCTGGCAATTCTGGTGATTGCCGAAAACAAAATAAAGAAACGTTTCTCCTTTAAATCGAATTTGAAAATATCAGAGTTTATCAACGTGAACTTTATTTTTTAAACATTAACAATTATTGTGGTCATACCCATGTCTACCAACTTTTTATTCCTTCTTTTGAAATCGAGAAATATATTAAACAATTAAATAATAAAACTGAAATAAATTGCAATAGCAATGAGGGGCATAAACACTGTCTCGGATGACTGATTCCCAAATTGGTAACAGGTAGAGGCCCGAGTTAAGATTGTGACTCTCGGATTTTTCGTTGGTAGACGAACTGATTACATGCAATAATTTTAGTTTTATCGAGCGTTCGGTTTCATGAGTGTGTTCGGCAACAGCTGATGAGTTTATTTGTCTTAGTCGTAAGGCTCTTTCGTGTTCTTTGAGCTTAGTTGATATTTTTCGTCCGATCTCTCCAATGTATTCTTTGCCGCATATGCATGGAATGCTGTAAACTCCCGGCATTTCAAATAGAATTTTGTGTTTGACGGACCGAAGATGTTGAGAGATTTTTGAACAAATAGTAAATCTCTTTTTGACGTTATACTTTTTTTTTCTTTTCAAATCTGTCACTTTTTGAGATGATTCAACACAATATTTTAATAATATGTTAGAAAATAAAACCTCAACAATGTCGGTAGAATCGATTTGAAAGTGGTATATCAATACCACATCCTTTAAGACCAGTTTTACATTGACACGCAACTTTTACATTCATTTATTTTGGAACTGGAGTTTTGTATTTATCACGTAGATATTCAGTGACATCTCTAAAATTATGGGGAGGCGCGCCATCCTGCTGAAAATACATATTTATTGTCACAGCAAGAAGTAAATCATTTAACGAGTCTTCATTTCATTCAGTCAGCTTCATAAAGATGTTGATGAAAGTTATACTTAAAAGCACACAGATTCTCTTGAGATGTCTAATTCTAATGCCACTTCCCTTCTCTCTTCGGGAGGCGAGGAGAGACATTGTTATTTAATATAAGGAGGAATATTAAGCTCTGAAACATTTTGCCAATGTATTTTCGATCCTGATCATTGCCATGTGACTTAGCCTTCAACCTAAGCCAAACGAATTCACAAGAACCTGGAATCCTCTAAACTTTAAACTAATTCTTTACCTGATTTTAAATAAGAAATTTAAATTAGAATAGAACGACCGGTGAGTGAACAAAAACAAACAAACCTCTTAATTTCAAGTAACATATTCGCAGATGGTATAAATAAACATTGACGTAATTTTATTTCAACTCTTCCTTTTGTTGTGTCGTTACGCCACGCGAATTAAAAAATACTAATGGATATGTAAATAGACGCAGAAAAAAATGTCGGTATCGGGTTCACTGTGAGCGAAACGAATATCCTGTGAAAAAAATATATATAAAACATTTTTTATAAAGATACTTGTAAAAGATAATCGTAGTTTTCCTAACGCTGAAACTATCAAGTTTTTAAGTTAATTGAATATCTTAATCTGATTCGACTGAAAAATAGATAATCTATCTACACGCGACAAAATATACATTTTAGTTAAAAAATAGCTATTTTTTCAAGTCAGGGGCCTAGGTATCGCGAAATAGTGCAATTTCTGCCCAAAGCCATTGGTTTTTACGAGAATTTGACAGGAATGCTTGTTGCTATTTTATTTAGTTCTTTAACCAGCTGATCAAGAAAACAAAAAAAACACAAATATATGCAACAACGGATACTGCCAAAAAATGATGAAGTTATTGACTGATAAATAGTACTAATAATAAATACTATACTATCATAACAGTATCAATAACAATCTTGAAAGGATATACCGCTTTGTTAACATTCTTGCTACGTCTGCAAGCGCCCCACAGAACAGTGAAACTACGAAAACTGCGTTCATTTTTCTAGAAAACGGTTAGTTTATCTTTCTTTGTGAAAATAGTTACCAATCTTTTAATTAACTTGGAGTGGGCAAAAAGTAAAATATTCAATATTTCTACCATAGAATAATGCTAATTAAAAAAAAAATTAAAAAGTAAGAAATATCGTATCAATATCTGGTGGCTTTTTTATAACATGTCAAAAAAATACACATATTATTTGTTACATTTATTATTTGTAGTAATTTGATAAAAAAATTTTTTCATCAATTTTTTTGTAATAATGGGTGTTATAGCCCCGAGGTGCGGGCAATTCTGGTGATTGCCGAAAACAAAATAAAGAAACGTTTCTCCTTTAAATCGAATTTGAAAATATCAGAGTTTATCAACGTGAACTTTATTTTTTAAACATTAACAATTATTGTGGTCATACCCATGTCTACCAACTTTTTATTCCTTCTTTTGAAATCGAGAAATATATTAAACAATTAAATAATAAAACTGAAATAAATTGCAATAGCAATGAGGGGCATAAACACTGTCTCGGATGACTGATTCCCAAATTGGTAACAGGTAGAGGCCCGAGTTAAGATTGTGACTCTCGGATTTTTCGTTGGTAGACGAACTGATTACATGCAATAATTTTAGTTTTATCGAGCGTTCGGTTTCATGAGTGTGTTCGGCAACAGCTGATGAGTTTATTTGTCTTAGTCGTAAGGCTCTTTCGTGTTCTTTGAGCTTAGTTGATATTTTTCGTCCGATCTCTCCAATGTATTCTTTGCCGCATATGCATGGAATGCTGTAAACTCCCGGCATTTCAAATAGAATTTTGTGTTTGACGGACCGAAGATGTTGAGAGATTTTTGAACAAATAGTAAATCTCTTTTTGACGTTATACTTCTTTTGAACTTTTGATATTTGGTCAGTGATGTTTTGAATGTATGTGGCAAGTGTAGGATTGCTTTCGGCCTCATTGCTATTGGAAGGTTGTGGTGAAGTGTATCTCTGATGGAACGCTTAACATCTTTAATGTGGAAATTATTAGAGGGAAGAGCAGAGGTAAGGTGTTTTAATTCTGTTTTCAGTGACTCGGGCTGAGATAGTTTTACACTTGCCACTGTGGTCCTTCTTTACATTCAAAATATCACTGACCACATATCAAAAGTTCTAAAGAATTATAACGTCAAAACCAGATTTTCCACTTGTTCAAAAATTTCTCAACATCTTCGGTCCGTCAAAGACAAAATTCCATTTGAGATGCCAGGAATTTACAGCATTCCATGCATATGCTGCAAAGAATACATTGGAGAGACCGGACGAAAAATATCAACTAGGCTGAAAGAACACGAAACGAAAACGAAAGAGCCTTACGACTAAGACAAATGAACACAAGCAGGTACAGAATAAAATACGAGCCAGTTTCAGTCAAGCTCTGAAGAAGTCAACAGGATGATTGGTGAAACGTCAGCAATTTCGACTAAGCACAAACCGACGCAGGAGGAATTCAGAAGTTTTGTAAAAAGTATTACAGTAGCCTGTGGAAGTTTCTTTGAAAAAATCCAATTTATTATATACAAGTAATTAATCAATAAATGTTGGCAAAAATCGTCTCTGTAAAACCCGCTGTATTTCACAAGTCAGTATATTGTTTGTAATTTGCAAAATAGATATTCCTTCGTGAGATGCTGAACGATGCTTGTTTTTTCCTCACGATCGTAAATAATTTCTTTTCATATCATTCAAGAGGTACCTGTAACGTAATAACGGTACTATCTAATAGAAACCGCCGGGGTCACGTGAGAAATAACAACCAGGTTACACTTTTGTTCTTTTGAGCTGTTCAATATTCAGATACAGAGGGAGTGTCTATCCTGATTCGAATTTCTATTATTGCGCCGATTCGACGGTAATACCAAGTCCGCACAGCCAAAAACAAAGAAAACCGACTCATTATTTATATAATACGTCCCCAACTTGCGGCATAATTAACAAACAAAGTGAAATTCCCGCGAGCTTTCGTGAAAGTAAATTGATACTAAACCATTTCAACATTGCTGCGAGCCAAATTTTGGCAAAAACCGTTTCTCGCATTTATTAAATTGTAACTAAACAAACGGGACCGTGTTTTTTCCGCACTCAGTACGCAAATTGCTTACACGCCATTTAATTTGTCTTCGTCCATCCTTTGACGGGCTCGAATTGCGTCACAAACGCGAACTAACTAGCATGAGATCTCCGCGAAAGAATTTAAAAGAAATCTGCCTTAAGGCAAGAACAAGAAAAAAGTCGAATAACGCGGTCGAATTGTCTAGACGAAAACGGCCATGATTTCTCTTGACGAATTTATTTTCAAAACAATTACTGGTCAAATGTTGTTTAGTTTCAAGCCTGCTACAAGGCATTTCGAACGTTCTACATCTTGCAAATTCCGTGCAACTGTTGTGCACGATTTATCTTTCCCTTCCTAAACCACTCCCCAGTGATTGTTTATGAGAACTCGCGAATAACAGCGAAAGGTCTATAGTTAAAGGTCCAAAGAGCACTACTTTCAGACAAGGTAAATTATACCCCGCTAATGCGTAGAAAATTGTCCCGACCTTAACACGGCCTAAAATTTTTCATGCCGTGTTTTTTATAAGACCGAAAATGGCGATATACTTGTTTTGTTGTAGTCAATTTAAGATAATCAACGCCTCTAATTATTTGAAGGAATACATTTTTCAAGAAAAGTGACGAAACTTCAATATTTTAATTGGAAATAAAACTAAAAAAAAAAACAGGAGGAAATGTGTACGTGTTGTCTTTAGCCATGTTACTGCGTCCCTTATGCTCTTGTAAGTAATTAAAACGAATTAACAACCACACCCTGAAGTAAGAGACACTCTCTAGGTCCAATTTTGTGTTTTGAAATTCCATATTATGCACCCTAGTAAAAGATACTCATCCAATCAGGGGGGCGAATAACAAATAATTATCAAATTACACCGGGGCGTAGATAATTAATTAGCTTTCTTAGGATTAGAGCGTCAACTGGAAAATTAAAAGATTACTTACAGCTCTTCTCGCTGGCGTTGAGACAAGACCATTTTCATGTTAATGTTCCGAAGCTAAGGTGTACCCCTCTATTTCATTACCTGAAAAATAAGACCAAAAGCAAAAAAATTAAATTATATAATAAAGGTATACAAAGATATAATCGAATCTAATTAATTCAAATTTAAACTGTTGATTCAGGAGTATATTTCTAAATCCAAGTTATTTTCTTACATCGAGATATTTTTTGAACACTTCTATTATTATATAGAAACTTATTTATTGAATAAAAAATATTTTTAATTAAATAATATCAGTTGTTGTAACTAAATTAATACAGGTTTTTAATAAAAGATATTTATAATTTATGTAATATAAGTAAAGTTGAGGAAGGTTTAATATTCATTTATAGCCTTAATCAGTATTATTCAAGTAAATATTATTCCAAAAAAATACAAATTGTTAATGAAACACGAATCGCTAGATGGACCCTTTTCTCACTTTTTATAGTCTACCTAATTACGTGATGAGGAACAATTATCCAATAGCACTGATTGTAATTTACCAACACGTAAATCTCAAACCTCTAGATTATTTATGTAAGCAGAGTTTTTAGGTTCTTGTCATTTTACTGAAATTAGTGACATGGACCTCATACGAACTTTTATACAATATTCAATTAGCTATACACACATCTCAGGAAAAATGTAAACGTACTAAAAAACTACATCACATTCTTGAAATTTTAAAACGCCAATGAAACAGATGTGGATTTAAGATATTTTTGCTAATCCCCAATACGCAATTTATTCAAGGTGAACAACGTGACACATTTGGATATTTTAAGTAAAAATTGTTGAGGACCTTTTCTCTAGCTTTGCGATAAAAATCAATATCGGCCATTTTGCTTGGTACCGAATCAAATTTTTATTGCGTTATTACGTGTTACTTTAAGTCGTTAATTTAACTAAAAACATTTAAAATAAGACACTTACAACTCAGCACACCAACGAAAAGATAAATTCCACTTAAAGCAGAGTTTTCGCGTACACTTACTTAAAAAAATATTCCGCAACTCTCGCGAACACCGACTGCACAAGTACACAGAACGCGCAAGGACAAAAACCCCAGTGCCAGTGACAAATTCAACAAATGATTGACAAGTTTACCACCGCGTTCCTAAACTATTAGTTTTGTAGGAATTATATGTTAATACATGTCATACACCCTGTTACATATGTACCAACAAAAATACGAATTTGGCTAAAAATATTGATAAAATACTAAAAATAATATCTAAACACACCCAAAATAAAGGAAATTTCTTTCTCTACCACAAAAAGATGGCGCTCTAAAATATGAAACCCTAGATCATAAACTAGAATGGGTTAAAAGTTTTCTGTACTCAAGGTCGATAAAGATTAGACAGAATGCTGCGAAAACAAGGTTTATCTTTGATAGATAGATAAGTTTATTCGCGTAAGCGCTGCGTTGCCCGATTCCACAGTAACTAGACCAATATAATATAGTTGTTTCTATAGCTGTTGTACGTGCTTATCCGAACGTGCGATATTACATTGTTTTATCATTTGGCTAAATTTATAACATCAAAAAAGCCAAAAACCCGCATTACAAGATATTTGATCAACCTGTACAAATAAAGCACATTTGTTTCGAGGGGACAGAGTGACGTCACGACGATCTGACTACTGGCGCAAACCTACGGAAATAAACTTATTTTACATCCATCTTAGAACAAACCAGCAAATTAATTTGGGGTCATAAATGAAGCGCAAACACTCACCAAAGAGCAATTTATATATATTTTTTCCTGAACTAAGATTTGAGCTAGGCAGTTCAACTGATACACAAGGAAATCCACCTATATTATTTAATATATACAAATAGGACAATATAAATATACAAAAAAAGAATTAGCCTATTTTAAGATATTTTATTATTGGTCTCAATTAAATTTTCTTGCAAATTGGTTTCTTCTGTAGTAATTTCACTCCCCAAATTTGACTTATTACATTCTTGTTCCAATTGATTCTTGCAGTTATTGATAGTTTCATTTTCTAGAGATTTTTCTTCATGCTTGTTGTCTTCTTCTTCCGAATCAGAGTCAATTTCAGAACTGTCTTCACTTTTGTCACCTTTACCCATCAAGTTTGGTTTAATTTTTTGCTTCTTCTTATTTTGTTTCTTTTTTAACCTCTTTGCTCGCTTCTTAGCAGTTCTCTGTTCAGCCAATTTTTTGTTCTGTTCTAGTTTCTCTTTGTATTCCTCATCCAGCTTTTCCTAACATGACTAGTTATACAAAAGCAGAAAATAAACATTTTAAACCTACCCTTGCTGCTTTTTCCTGCATATACTTTTGTCTTGCATACTCTTTCCGCCTTAAGTGACGGTAAACATGAAATTCTCCTGAACCTGCTCCTGCACTGGAGCCCATAACATTACGAACAAAATCTGGAACATGCGGTGATCCTCTTTCCTTAGGTCTTTCTGGAATTATTATTGGCTTTTCCTACAGAAAATTAAGCAATTTATTAAATAACAGATTTGAAAAAATTTAATCAGAAATTGATCGATGTATTTGATCAAAATACCCACAGGATTCTTCATTAACTTTTCCAGTTTCATTCGCTGGTAATCCACGGTAGTCCGGACGACTACAGGTTTCTGAACTTTCTCAGATTCTTGTTTATCTTCCCTGTCATTCTTCATCGTCAATACTTTGTAACACAGAATACTAGGAATATCTTTCTAAATTCATTATTTGCCGATTTTATTGACTTCAATTTTTTCTAGGCAAAAATACTGTTTTCATTGGTATTTTTTGTTAATACGCCAATTTTGATAAACCGCAGACTTAGGTTTGGTGAGTTGGAACATATGGTACAATAGTAAATATTTAGCAAAATTTTACATTGCATAGTTGCCAACAACATTTAAACGAGAGCTGGAAGTAATTTTTGTTATTTTTGTGAAATCAGTTTTTGTTACATTTAAATAATTAATATCCGCGTTTCAACAATTTTTTTTTTGCAGAAGTTTTTTTGTCCTAACTATGCTGTCATTGTGAGTTATATGAACATTTTCATTTCACGCCCACACTTTTTGACATTCTAATTTGACGTTATGTTTACTTTTTTTCTCAAATGATAAAATTTGTGGATTTCCTGCTTTATAGTTTAGCTTTTTAGGTGAGCATAATATGATTATTAGGGGTCTACTTATCCTCTTAACGTACAAATGTATTCTCCGTAGTAAATATTCTAATAATAAAGGTCAAAAGATTAATTCCACTTATTAAGTATAAATGTTATTAGTAAATTGATAGTTTGTTGTAGGCAATGGTTGTAGTTAGTGGCAGTTGGTTTAAAAAAAATGTTGCTCCCTATTCTCCTAATGAAGACGTAACTGTTGTGGACGAGGATGCTACAATGGCTGCAAAAGCAGTTTTAATTTGTCGCCCCAACTCACATCATTTCCAAGTGAGAACCCTAACCCTCGATCAACCCATTAAAGTAGGCCGATCAGTGGCCCGCGCCAAACCAACATCAACCAACGCCGTTTTTGATTGCAAAGTTCTTTCTCGTAATCATGCTGTCTTGTGGTATGAGAATGGAAAATTCTATTTACAAGACACCCAAAGCAGCAATGGCACTTTTGTAAACAATAACAAACTATCAGTGGAGAACTATGAAGTTAGTTCGGGAGATATAGTACAATTTGGTGTTGATGTAGTTGAGAATAATCGGAAAGTAACACATGGTTGCATTATTGCTAGTTTGAAGTTGTATTTGCCTGATGGAAAAGAAGCAAAAGCCAGTCCTAGTGTTAATGAAGGTGACAGGCATGGTAAATGCTAATTTATATTTTATTGAAATTATTTGAAATTTTAATGACTTACATTTACATAATCTATGAAGTGGCATCTGAAGTAATAAAGTAACATAAAGTAAATTTTTTATTAAGAAATATTGCTAATAGTATTGTGGAAACTAGAGTTATAAATGAGTAGAAATGCCAAACAAAAAGTCCTCTTTTCTTGATGTTTATGTAGTACATCATGGATTATTTAATGAATACTTATATACATATTTCAGGCATGGTGCCGTTAGATGATCTTTACAAGTTAAACCAAATACTTCAGGAAGCAAATCAAAGAGAACAGTGTTTGGAATCAAAACTGACTGCCCTTCAGCATGTAGTTGAAGAAACCAAGAAATCAGCTGAAGAAAGTTGGCAGGCCTATGTTGGAGAAGAACGATTGCTGAGCAGATTGTCTGCCCTAGAAACAAAACTACAGCAAACCAGTAAGAATTGGTCAGAAGATCGATTGAAAGATGAAATTTCAAAATTGAGAGTATGCCTGGAAATATTTTTACCTAACTGTAAAAATTCATCACTCGGGTTTTAGATAAGCAATGAACAGTATCAGGAAACTGCAAAAGCGACATTAGAAAAAGTACACACTGAAAAATTAGAAGCAGTAAGCTTAGCTGTGGAGCAGGAGAGAGCAAGAATATCTGCGGAACAAGATGCACTATTGGCAAGAGAGCAGTTAGGACAAGCACAACTTGATCTCCAAGTCAGCACGCTTTGTTTGTCCCAGATTTTATTTAGTTTGTTGTTAAACAATTTTTAGGAAGTTGCCCAAAAACTATCGGAGATTCAAACTAGATCGGAGGAGGAGAAGCACCAACACCAAAAACAAATAAGGGAGTTGGAAATCCATATGGAGGAGCAGGAAGCCAAAGTTGCAGAATTAGAAGCTAAAATTTACAAACTTACGGTGCAGATGGTATTTGATCAGAACGAAAAGGTACATGGGAAAATTGCAACATGTGGTTTGATTATTAAATTTCACATTGACAGGAACGGCCTGAGTTAATTTATGAGGATGATATGAAACTTAAGGAAGAAATTTTAGCTGAAAACGAAATGTCAGAATCAATCCTAAATAAATCAAACTCCAATGGATTTCAACCAAATCACATTAACTTAGTGGTAATAAGTGGCAAGTGATACCAGCAAAACATGTATCACAAAATTTTTTCGAATTTTCAGGTAGCGCCAGTCGACGAAAATTGCGAAGAGGAAAAGACTGAAGAGTTACAATATGAATCTGTTACGAAAACAAACAATGACGAGAATAAGAGCAGAGAGAAAGAGGAAACCAGGCGAGTGTCATTTAAGCTACCTGGAGATGTACCTGAAGAAGTAGGAAAAGGATTATTTCACTTGACCCGCTTTAATTGTGCCTTTTTTCCAGGAATCTGAGAATGACTTCAAAAGCCCTAAAGAACTAGAGGAGTCACTAGAGAAACATGTTGACTCTAAAACTCTCAAGTACCAATATCAGTCGGCGCAAAAGGAGCAAAACGAGTTGCGAAGAAAAATCGAATTTTTGGAAAGTTTGTCTTTGGCTAATAAACTGAAAATCGACGAATTAGATCAAGCATTGAACCAAGAGAAAGATTTGAGCGGTCAAAGGTTGATCGAGAATGAAAAGTTGAAAGATGAGCTTGTCCTGCTGCAGCAAAAATTGAAGGAAAGTTGTATGGAGAATCAGCAGCTTAGAGACAGACTGGGAGATATGCTAGTAAAAAAGGAGAATGCTGAAGATGGGAACAAAGTCGATTCTAAGGAGGTGGACATTTTGGAATTGAAAGAACATTATGCGCGAAGCAGGGACGAAAAATTGAATTTGGAGCAAGAGCTGTTGAAAATGCGGACTGAGTATAACCTTCTACGTGACAGTATGTATAATAAATGTTTCTTTTACGTCGCACCATTGGTAGTTATCATCCTCTATTTCTACGTAAGCGCTTGGATTTCCTGATCAACGTTGTTAGTTTTTGTTTTCTTTTATTATTTTGTCAAAATGTTTCTCAAAATTATAGATTGGTAAAAAGTTTCTTGCGTTTAAATGTTTAATCAGGGAGAAAAGCCTATTTTAAAAATATTAAGATAATAAAGAAAGCCTAGAAGACATTGTAATGCTATAACATCCAGCGTGATTTATAGTACCCCAAATTACTGGTCACAATAACAGAAAAAGTTCATATAAACATGTGTGGTAAACAAATGTTTGAAGTTTTTCAGTTTCCTCTTACAATTTTGAAAATTGAATTGAAATTTGATACACCCGTACATTTTAGTTGTTTATTTTGCAATATCAACAAATTTAAATAAAGTTGAATTCAGGATGTAGATATTGATTTTTTTTTTAAATTGATCTGAAAAATAAGGGTTTTAAGAGTGTTAAATTGAGTACCACTCCCAAAAGTCTATCACCCTGTAGACTTTGAAAAACGCTTAATAGCTTAATGTTGAGAGTACTAATGTACCAAATTTCAATTCATTGTTTTCAAAATTGTACCAAGCTTATATGAACTTTTTTCTTATATTGAGCTGATTAACTCGCCCCTCAGTTGGGGGCTGTTAAATCACTCTGCATAACTTGATTTTTTAGTGGGTGGGTGCATATCTAAAGGTAGGATCATGCGTTTGGTTGGCTGGTTTGTAAATTAAAATAAGGAAAGCACATAAAGTTAGTTAAGACAATATTTTACAAAACAAAATTATGCCACCTTTGAAAATAGTTGATAAATAAATGTCTCACAAAACCATCTGAAGAAAATAAACTAAAATATATTTACAACAGGTGTCTGCTTTGCTTGTTATTCTAACATTTATGGCCAAACATTACAGTTTTTGTTCCAGAAATTTACACTGAACACCTTGCACGATGACAATTAAAGATCTGCATTGTGCATAAAAATGGACAAACATTTGGCAATTGAATTTATGATAACTGATGAGTATCTCACATTATTCTACAACTTTCAGGGGAAAAGTTGTATATTTTTAAAAAAATTGCTGCTGTCAGTCTACATGTTCAGATAACTAGAATTATCATCAACTTTGAACCCATCAGAGAATCATTTTATAACTTGTAAATGAATTTCATGTCTAAATGTGCACCTTTCCACTTCTCATTTTATGTACCTAATTCTGCTTGGGCTGTTATTACACCGAGAACAAATTTTCTATGAAGACTGTTGAGTTTGCCATATCCGATTTATAGAATATTTTTTGAAATCTTAAATTAGCGGCTCGAAGGCTGCACAATTATAAAATTAGGCCTCAGAAAATAAATAGGATTTTTTATTTACACGTTTTGTAGTGTTATGTCAGCATTTATGTTGTATTTTCGTGAATATGTCTTTCTGTTGTATTTATTAACAATTGAATTGGTCCCAGTCTAGTGAAGAATGTTTAGAAACATTTCAGTAATAAAGTTTGAGACACCATTTAAAATGTTAAGTTCGTAATTAGAAACTACACAATTAATAAAAACAAATACTTTTATCATTTGAGTTATATAAGTAGCACAAGTTAGAGTACAAGTTTTGTATAAATACTGAAGCCATTTTGGTGGCACATTACACAAGATTAAAGTCGGATTTTTAATGATCAAAAATGATCTTGTGGGCATATGAAGTAAAAACAATAACAAATAAATAAAATTTCAAAAGTGGTTTGTTTATAAGATATTCTATAGTCTATTATTTGACAAGGTATATGCTCCACATTGAATTAAAATTATTGATATGCAACATTATTCAAATGTGGTTTATACTAACTGCAGGTTTATTCAGTATCAAATAAATATTGTACAATTGTTAGATTCGATTGTTATTTACGCTACCGAAGTAACTCTGGTTTGTTAACCCAGACTAGTAGCATTTAGTACAATATATTCGGTTCTCCAGATATGTTAATATATTATTTGTTTGTAATAATGTAAATATTTGTGCAATATATTGAGTAAATTAGTCGATTTATCTTTTATTTTATTGTATCTATTCAAATTCTCAGAAATATTTTTTGAGTCTAGGAGAAATTTCTGCAACTAAGAAATACAAAACTAACTCAACTAAAATTTTGATTAGTGATTAATATTTAGTAAATTCTTCTAAAATATATTATTATATTTATACTTATGAGTTAAAATCATTTAAAAAGTATTCTTGCCTAAAATGTAATAATACGCACAAAAGGAGGATTAAAATTCCATAATGTTAAAAATTGCAAAAAAAAAATGCAAGCGGATAAATAATAATCAATAAACTATTTATTAACTAGTATTATGGTCGGCTTCATTTTTTTCCTGTTCCAGACCTTTTCTCGGATCATCAGGCTTCATAGCGGGGAACAGTAGTACTTCCTTTATATTATTATTATCTGTCAAAAACATGGTCACGCGATCAATGCCCATTCCCCAACCGCCGGTCGGTGGCAAACCATATTCTAGAGCTGCACAAAAGTTTTCATCTACAAGCTGAGCTTCATCATCTCCTGCAGCTTTATCAGCTGCTTGCTGTTCGAATCTTTCCCTTTGAATTAATGGATCATTCAGCTCAGTATAGGCATTACATATTTCTTTCTTCATTACAAACAATTCAAACCTTTCTGTTAAGCCTGGTATAGATCTGTGCCATTTTGCTAGAGGACTCATGATTTGAGGGTGCTCTGTTATAAATGTGGGATTTATACATTTTTCTTCTATGAATTCTCCTACTAATTTGTCGAGTAGTCTAGCAGTGGTTCTGGGGGCGGGACACTCAACATTATGTTTGATACATAAATCGCTTATAAATTTATTGGCTGCTTCTCCATTTAACTCTGTTGCTAATGGGAATTTAACATTTAATGTGGATTCTAAGCTAGGGATCATTGGGATCCTTTTAAATGGGGGTGTAAAATCTATTTCAACCTCTTCTCCGTCTAATCCGTCAGGGTGGTATTTTATTTTATAGGTACCGTGGATACTATGTACCATTCCAGCAAGAAGAGTTTCAGTAATGATAATTAGATCATTGTAATCGGCATAAGCCATATAAAATTCACAAGTTGTGAATTCAGGATTGTGAGTTAAATCAATACCTTCATTTCTAAATTGCTTTCCGATTTCATACACCCTATCAATACCCCCCACAATCAACATTTTGTGGTACAGTTCAGGGGCAATCCTCATAAACAGATCCATGTTCAGTTCATTATGATGAGTTATGAATGGTTTGGCAGTTGCCCCACCAGCAATCATATTCATCATTGGAGTTTCTATTTCCAAAAATCCTAGTTCATCAAAGAACTTCCTCATGTAAGCAATGATTTTAGCTCTGACTTCAAATATTTTGCGTACATGATCATTAAGAATCAGATCTAAGTACCTTTGTCGAAACCTAGTCTCCTTATCCTTTAGACCATAATGCAAATGTGGAAGCATGTGCAAACATGGTGACAACAATTTAATCTTATTTGGCATTATTGATAATTCTCCCTTTTTGGTTTTAGTAGGGACTCCTTCAATGCCTATGATATCCCCTCTTTTAATTTTATCTGTATCATAAGCAAATTTCGATTCATCACCATAGTGCTGTGCAGTGGCCATTACTTGTACTTTGGTAGCCTCACCTCTAATGTCGTAAAATATTAATTTTGCGCCTGAGGCTCTAATAGCATGCACACGACCTGCTAAACTAAGTTTATCATCTTCTCGGACTTCTCCTTCATTCAAACTACTATACTTCTGCACAAATTCAGTAAGAGATATTGATACATGAAACTTATGGGGATAAGGTGCATCTTCACCTCCTATCGATTTAAGATTGGCTATTGCGGTCGTCCTAAGCTTGAAATACTCATTAGGACTAATGTTTTCTTCATTATTAATTACCGTTTCCTTTTTCGCTACCTGCGAGCTCTTTACCGCTTCAGCAGCTAATTTTTCTTTGGCTTTTTGTTCCGCTTTCATTCTCCTTTTCAACTCATTCTTCGACAACTTTTCGGACGAGCTTTCCGACATTGTGTTCACGTTTTTAGGAAATATAAATTTCGTAAAAATATGGTAACTGCAAGAGGACAAACGAGGAAATTTTCCATACATAACCATACGCACAGAAATATTGTTAGCTGCCACGGAAAAATTATTAAATTAGATAAAATACGCTTCTTTATCGACTGCAGCGGGAACATCAGCTAAGGACACTCGCTTATTAGCTTCACCCAAACAAAAATTGTTACAAACTATGAACTAAATTTTATTTTTCAGTTCCAAACCTGCCAAGTTGGATAGCATATGGTATTCAAAATTAACCCAAAAGAATTACCACAAATTATATTAACACAATTTTTGGTCCATGGGCAAAAAATTTGAACACATTTGCCTAGCTGAATGTTAAATTTCCACTCAATTCAATTAAATGATGCGTTTCACAGATAACTGTTGGGCACGACTACCAGGATCATTCGCCCAGAAATTTCCACTCAATCGTTTCGAACAAACAGAAGAACGTTTAATTGCGTTTGACATAAATTGTGTGTGAGTAATCAAAAGCGACAATTTTCTGGAAAATTCAGGATTAAAACAGGATTTTGTTGTGTTTAAGCGGAGCCTAAAAAGTAACATGGCCTTAAACACCGCGCATATTAACGGTGGAGTATTAATCCACTCCGGGGAACAGTAAGTAAATTTTTCCTTATCCAGAATTTCTAAAAAAATATTTTCCCTTAAATTTTTTCTATTTGTGATAGGATTTTACTGTTTTGCGATAATGTCAACATCGAATGGTCTGGTCAAGAAGCCAGTGTTTTTAAAAGTAAAAAACATGGGAGGATATTCTTGACAACTCACAGAGTTATCTTCAATAATAACTCGCCTTCAGATGAAATGCAAAGCTTCAGTTTCCCATTTGTTACTCTCAGTGAAGTACATACATAAGTATTATTTATTGCCTGTTGAAATATTATGTAACTTGTTATAGGTGGAAGTAGAACAGCCAGTTTTTGGAGCTAATTATGTAAAAGGGAAAGTGAGGGCTCAGCCAAATGGAAACTGGGTAGGTGAGGCAAAATTCAAAATGACTTTCAAACATGGTGGTGCTATTGAGTTTGGACAAGCTTTATTACGGGCTGCACACTTAGGTAAAGTCAATAAATTTGGATATTTTTGTGTTGTATTTACTTTTTATTTAAATTATTTCCAAAGTTATAAAAAGTTTTGTGACTTTCTTAGCAACAAGAGGTCAAATGAATGCTCCCCCTCCGTATGAACCGTCCCAGCCGCAGTGGTATGCAGCACCACCACCGGCATATGCGCCATCACCTCAAGGTAAGAATTCCACAAGATTTGGGCTACCTTTATATAATTGTAGTTAATTTTTGTAAAGGTGAGTTGGTTTTAAATCAATATGTAGTACTCCTGTTATATCATTTTTCCACTCCACAAAATTTATCCATTGTCAGTTGCCTGGTTTTAAGCTTTTTATCCCTGACATTTTGCAACATTTCTGTAGTTGTTCCATTATTCCTATGTTGTTGGTTTTGAGTCCATCATGACTCTGAAATAAATTTCTGTTTGCCACACTTTGCTGCCCCCTGTGCATTGACAATATTTTTAGGCTATTATGGTTGGGTGCCTCCCACCAATGTATTTCCCCAACATCCTCCAACAGACGGTGTCTTTATGACCGATGCACCACCACCGTATCCTGGAATTTACCCTACCGGACAACAAAATGGATATGGGCCACCCCAGGGAGGGTATGCCCCCCAGGCCCCACCGGCATACCCTCAGGGACCATCAAGTGGTTATTATCCTCAGGGCGGGTCAGGTGGATATCCTCCACAGGGCCCAATGCCTGCTGGGTTCACTACTTCAGCAGGTATTTTTTTTGGATGGCATTTAATTTTATTTGGAATTTTGCGCTAAAGCATATATAATATATATAGCTAAGCAATGTTCCTGCTCTCTGGAAAATCATTTTTGTCTGTGTTGCTTTAAAAAATAATTTTGATTTATTTTCAGATGCAAAAGCCGCTGAAGCTGCTCAGTCTGCTTACTATGATCCAAACCGACCAAATATGGCTTATGTTCCTCCCCCATCATACTATGTGAGTTTTATATATGTCTGTATTATTGCGCAAATAAAATTAATTATTATTCAAAAATTTTCAGGAAAACCCACCAACTTACAATCAAGCAACGAATCAGAAGAAAGATCAGTAAAAACGCTTATCATTGGCAGCACATATATTTGATTATATTGAAATGATTAACCGCCTTGTTAATTTATTTTCTAATTGTAGTTGTTTACTTTTAGTGCATTCCACATTGTTATATATACATATTTATGTACTGGTATTAAAGCTATTAAACTTCTAAAATTAAATGTTCATACATTTGTAATCTAGTTTGCAATAATATATTACTGTTATTTGATGTAATATTTTATATTTTTTGGATTTCATTTCCTCCAAGCAAAAAAAAATACAATTTTTATATTCAATTCATATTCATGACAGTAGGGTTTGGGTTAATCCATTATGTCACATGCCAGTAATTATTATTTATTTGGGGGCATAATCTAAATAAATATGTTTATGAATTCCTACAAATGTTACCTTATATCAACATGTAAATATAAGGTAACCAATTTTTGTGGATTTAGCGGATTTCATGAGTAACTAGAAAAAACTAATTATGGGGTATACTGACATTAATTTGAGGAAGGTATTAAATTTATTAGTTAATCGCAATTAAATTTATAATATTTGTTTGATTTGGTTATAATATTGTAGTAAAACTTGTCTTCTGAATTGAAGTTGACACTGTCTTTTGAAAACCTACAAAAAAAAAGAAAAACAAACTCAGGCAATTATTTTGCGATTTACACGTACCCAGCATTTTCAATTTTCCTTGGCCCTTTTATTTGATTCCATTTTGACACCTTATGCTCGTTAAAAGTCATTAGACCCAGAACACACATCCACAGAGCCATCACCATTATTTCATGATGTTCCCAATTTTCCATTAATTGTGCTGATGAACTTAATATTTCTATAGCGTTTTCTACATCGTCGAGTTCACTAAAGTACTTTAGATAATTTTCATAGAGAAAAGCATTAAACTTTGCCGGCTGTGTGCTAAATTCATCAACAAGTTGGTTAATATCGCAAGAAATGCGCCAGGATCCTCCACGTTCTATTCTTTTTGGGTTCAGTACTCTTCCCAAACCGTGAAACAATCCTAACGCCACGTCCCTGTATATATTTACCACAGCTTCCGTCTTACTGTTACGTTTTCTTTTAGTTCCTTGTTTTTCTTTATTTGTCTTCATAAGAGACCGGTCTTCTGAGTCTTGACCAGGACCAGAACTCTTTTTATTAAAGTGTACAGGGGGTGATCCATTATAAATGTTAGCCCCCTCTAACTTTATTTTACATTTTAGAAAAAAAAATTAATGCAAAAGTAATAGGTTTTGATGTGTAGATTTAAGATTACATACATATTTATATACAGGATGTGCCAAAAAATATACATTTTTTAAAATTGTAAGCCCTTATATCATTACATAAAAAGAAACCTCCTTTTCCGCTGATTTCAAAAATATATGAAACATTATGGTTATTTTATACATTACATTACATTACATCTTTTGTTTGACCATGACAGTTGGGTCATAGAGGGGGGTACCATTTATAATTCAAAATTTCAGAAAAATCGTATTACCTTTAAAGCTGGCAAGATACAACTGATTCATAGCTGTTCTTATGTCTCCCAAAGAAGAAGCAATAATGGCATCAATTGTATTACTTGAAACACTTTGTAATTCATTAGAATTATCAGAAAAAATGGACTGAGCTCTTTTAATAGCCTTCCTTAATAAAGTTGGTGCGCAAGCATTGAAACTGAAACATGGTATTATAAGTACATTTTAAATGCAAAGGTAAAACACCTGTTTTACCTAAAGTGAGTTATGGAGTATTTTATTAGTATTTCTTCTGGAAATAAATTTCTCTGTAAATTTATAGTGCCGCTGTTAAATTCGGTACATATAAATACAACTGGATGTGTTCCTTTGAAATAAATTTCACTAAAAATATTGAGATGCAATTAAATATAATTAAAACAAAACATAGTGTATCATTACTCGAGAACACTATGAAATTCATCAGGATTTCTAACAAATACGTTTGGAAAATCTTTCACAAGTATTATGTTGTTGTTATTTTCTATGTCAAATAAGGAACTGTACTTGCATTCATGAAAAAATTCTAAAAAGCGGTTTCTTTGACTTGATCCTTTGCCTACTTCATAGTCAATGTCTACTGGGTTAACCCATTCTATTAATGCTACGTTAAGCTCCTTTGAAATCACTTGCAGAGTTATAGTTTTCCCAGAGCCTGTGGGACCAGACAGCAGTAAAATTGGGGTACATTTCTGCAGAAATAAAACAAAGTTTTCGGACATCACATGCTAGTAAATTCATTTATTACTTTTTCTTGGCCAGGTGGTGACAAACTAAACTTTAACCATCCCTGTAATTCTTGAATTTTTTTTGTATGGATTGCAAGATCAGCAACTGACTTAGGAACAATCTTTTTTTGAAGGTTTAAAAGAGAGACCTTGTTTTCACTAGTTTGCCCATTATCTAATGACTTGGTTAATAATTTGGTAGGTAATATGTTTTCCTCTGTATTGTCAACACTACTTTCAGGTCCAAAATCAAAGGATTTCCACTGTAAAATAAAATAATGTCATCAAAAATTATTAAATCTCTGGAACTCTCTTACACGGCCAAACCCTTTCATTTTATTCACAATTTGAACAAAATTCGTTTCAACGTTATTCCTTATTTCTTATTTTGAAAGTCTAAGCCAACGAAAACATGAGTATTATGTTGTTTTTTTAAATTTGACGTATCTTTTATCTTTTTACCTCTATTGACCCAATCAATCAGAATAAAGTTTGTCACCTACATCGATAAAGTTGAAGAAGAACTCTCCACACCCCCTTGATGACGGATACTGGGCGTGTGATTTTGGTTGATTTGCCTGTTGAAGCGAAAGTAATAATATTTTTGTCGTTATACACTGCTCTGACCGAAAATGTTTTTTTTTTGCTTAATGCCAAATTATGATTTATTAGAAACTTACACACGCTTTTGTATTCAAAAGTTATGCATAGTCATCATCGTTTACATTGTAGACCTTGAAGACAGATAAACAGATAAAACCGAGGATAAAACACTCCTTCAAAGCAGATCGGTTTCATTTAAATAGGTTACTGGCGAAGTTCATTTAAAAAAAAATGGGATTATTAACGGAAGGAACTCCATTAACTTGGGAAGAAACAAAAAAATTAGCCGAACATGTCAGAGAGCATGGAATTAATCAATTTATAAATATTTATAAGAAACTTAGAGATAGAAAAGGTGATGTTCTTAAATGGGGGGACGAAATTGAATACATTTTAGTAAAATTTAATAAAGGGGCCAAGGAGGTAAAAGTTAGTCTTCGTGCTGTGGACATCTTATCTGTGCTTAATGAAAAGGAATATAATGACCCTAATGGTGTTAAGTCATTGTGGAGGCCTGAATTTGCAGCTTACATGATAGAAGGAACACCTGGTAAACCTTATGAAGGCACCCTTGCTCATTTTAATGTAGTTGAAGCTAATATGAAAATGAGACGTCAGGAAGTAATGGAATTGCTAACTCAGGATGAGTGTGCTCTGTCAATAACAGCCTTTCCCAGATTAGGGTGTGAAAATTTTACTGACCCTCCAACTGTACCTACTCCAAATGAAGGTAACACAAGATCTTTGTTTTTCCCAGATGCTGCAGTATTTCCTGGTCATCCAAGATTTATGAACCTTGTCAGAAACATTCGTGAAAGACGTGGGGAACATGTTGCCATTAACTTGCCGATATTTAGAGATACAGATACAAAAATTCCTGTAGATGACTCTTATAAAATTCGCAAAGCTGCTAAACCAGATTGTGTGTATATGGATGCAATGGGCTTCGGGATGGGTTGTTGCTGCCTGCAGCTTACATTTCAAGCTTGTAATATTGAGGAGGCCAGAATTTTGTATGATCAGCTTACACCTCTGTGTCCAATTATGTTAGCCTTAACTGCTGCTTCGCCTGTTCATAGAGGCTTCATTACAGATGTTGATTGTCGATGGAACGTTATTTCAGGATCTGTTGACTGCAGAACTGAGGAAGAAAGAGGAGTAAAACCTCTTAAAGAGAACAAGTTTGTGATAAAAAAGTCTCGTTATGATTCAATTGATTCCTACCTCTCTGAACAGGGAGAAATATATAATGACATTCCTATTTTATACAATAAAGAAGATTATGAAAAACTTAGAAATAGTGGCATCGACGATTTGCTAGCTCAGCATATTGCACATTTATTCATCAGAGACACTGTGTCATTATTTTCAGAAAAAATTAACCAAAATGATGAAGAAGATACTGACCATTTCGAAAATATCCAGTCCACTAACTGGCAGACAATGAGATTTAAGCCCCCACCCCCTCATTCCACAATTGGTTGGAGGGTAGAGTTTCGACCTTGCGAAGTTCAAATAACAGATTTTGAAAATGCTGCTATAGTATGCTTTGTGGTGCTATTAACCAGAGTTATATTATCCTACCAGCTTAATTTACTCATTCCTATTAGTAAAGTGGATGATAATATGCAAAATGCACAGCTAAGGAACGCCTGCAGGGAGCAGAGATTTTGGTTTCGCAAGGATATAACAACTGATGTTAGCCCACCTGAAGCGAATCGATGTTGTAAAGAAGCAATGGCCAGTGAGTTTAAAGAGTGTAATCTAATAGGACAAATGACGGTTAATGAAATTATCAATGGCAAGCAAGGCGAATTTCCTGGATTAATTCCATTAATTCAGAGTTATTTGAGTGGAATGGACGTAGATGCTGATACTCACTGTACAATTCAACAATACTTAAAATTCATTCAACAAAGAGCTTCGGGAGAGATCCTAACAACTGCCACATGGATAAGAAAATTTGTAACAGAGCATCCCGCTTATAAACATGACTCTGTTGTGTCTGAAGAAATTAATTATGACCTCTTGGAAACCGTTAGAGATATTCAAGAAGACATTAAGTCTTGTCCCGACCTGCTTGGCTTTAGGATTATGTCCAAAACGAAAGAAAATGTACCACATGCCTTGGAAAATGATGTCTGATTGTTGCTTTTTTGTTCAGGGAATTTGTTAGGACCAGATTGTTTTTTATAAATCGTTGTTGGCACTATTTGTTTCATTTGTAATAAGTATTTTGAAATGCATTTGTATTAAATATTTTATTTTATTCAATAAATACTCACAATAAAATATATCATTTTGTGATTTTATGTATGTGCTCCGTTTTTTTAACATTTATGAAGTATTACGTCAAGATATGAATGTCATAAGTTTTTTTCAATTTATATCACATAAATGAAATTGATTGCCGATAACTTTCTAAATTACTACGCAGTTGTAATGCAAGAATAGATGGAGGAAGTAGAGCTCTAATCAATAGAATAAACCAACACGCGATAGCATGGCGTCATCTAATGTGCCAATCGCGTTTTCTCAGCGATGTAAGCAATTATAATTTTAAAATAGTTTTTAGGCTATAATCACAACTTGAGTTCTAATAAAACAAAAATTAATGAATAGTTTTATACGGGCCGCAGTAACATCAGTCTAAACTAATATGAGGCCCCCAATATTTAAAACTTAATATGTAATGTAATTACTGTACATAATGTCAAAGTGAACATTATTTTACAGGGTGATTTCACAAATATAAATATTTTTAAAGTGAAAAGTTACTACACTTGTTTAGATGTTTTACTTTTATTTTTCTGCACTATTTTCTAAATAATTCCAAATTGAAAATCCTCTGAACTTCTTTAGGAGGTTCGAATCCAAAAGGAATCCGCAAGATTTGTAAAATACCTTATTTATCGAATCATATTTAGATATTTTGGTTATAAAACAAATTCAGACCACTTATTACTTTAGTAATATACTTAAATATATCACAATCACTTAGTTCAAAGAAGGATAAATGAATAAAACAGGTATAATAATTGAGAAATAGTATAAAACAATCTCTTATTAGTATTAGTATTAACGTGTATGGCAAAAAAAGAATACTCGTTACTACCCTTTTCCCTCTAAATAAAATTTGCCTCACAATGTCTAAATTGGCTGGATTATCGGGCCCATTCCAGTTTAGATCCAGTTCGATCGATATCTTGTAACTAGAGTGATATGTTGTGTAATAAAATTAAAATGTAACAATAGAGAAGACTAATAAAATATTAAATGTATTGCGTGTTGACTCAAACCCCTACTACATAAAGTTGACTAATTGTTTAGCTTTTTTTTTTTAAGAAACTTCCACGGGCTTTTGTAATACTGTTTTTCTACTCACTTCTGTAAAATTCTGTAAAATACCTACCGTACGTTCGTCGATCTAGGGAGATTACTGCACAGGTTTGGGAGCAATTGGATGTTCACGGAGATCTTACCTCACGGCTGGAATTTTGATGGTTGTCAGTTCTGACGCTCATATCAGTAAATGTATTCGTGTTGGTTTTGCAAAAATGCAGCTAAACTCGTAACTTAAATGCCGCTTACTGCACTTGCACAATATATTATTTTTCTACTCCCTTCTGTAAAATGCCTAAGTATATACCTACCGATCTAGGGCGCGGGAAGCGTTACGAGTTTATTTAGCACGACCAGAGTTGAGTGTTTAATAAACTCCGAAAACATCCGATTGCTCCCAAACCCGTGCAGTAATATTCCGGAAATGTCCGAAGTGGCTCGGATCCATGGGAAGCGAAACTGACGTGGTAAAATGACAGTTTCCGCAGACTAGATCGGTGTATAACTAAGTATTTTACAGAACAGAGTAGAAAAAAAAAACATGTCAAACGACTTAAATATTTTGAATTTATAAGTAAAATGTATAAATTTGCATTCGCTATTTTTGTAGGTGTTTTAAAAATTTAAATTATTAAAAATTTTATCACACTTCCTTCACTCACACCGCTTATTCATTCCCTCAGCATTCACACATTCTCCCAGTTGTTCTGAAAAAACTCCTGCAAGGAGTATATTGTTTTACTTACTATTTTTTTTAGTGAGTGTTTAAATTTGCTCTCTTTGATAATAAATATGATACTAGTCTAGCAAGTGCTTGTCAATTTTAATAGTCATTACAACTCATGCTATTGATTAGATAATCTAGTAATATAACTGTGAACTTTAGGAGATGCTAAAAAAGTTTTTTAAATATGTTCTTACATAAAATTTACATTTCAAAGATATTGATCATCATAAAATAATATAAATAAAATAATTAAACGATGAAAACACGAAATTCTCCCTTTCACATAAATGAGCAAGAGAAAAACAAGATTGCTTTCGAAAAATCGTCACTGGGCCGGGCAAGTTTGTAGCGTGTAGCGCGAAACAGCTTTGTATTTCAAAAGGAAACCGTTTAGCAGTTTTTTGTGCTAGAGGCACGCATTGTTTTTCTATCGTGCTCCTGCGGACCACAATAGAACTTTCGCAATATCGATGTAATTTTATTGTGCATACACCCTGTATAAAGTATCTTTCAAGTCTCGCCGAACTTCGAAGTTACGGAAAACTTTGTTAAATATTTAAATTTGTATAAATAATAGCGTTTTCGAATGATATTTTTCAAATATCTCGCAAGCCCTGTATAATTGACGAAACCTGAAACTCTCTCTCGACACAGATTAAGATACTGTTCAAATCAAATTAGCGCATCTTAAACAGTTTTTCATTTATCCTCAATAATTTACCCACAAAATCGGAAATTTTTAGGATGTTTTAGATATTTTTGCCAATCAACGACACACCCTGTATATAATTCAAACCATGTTCGAAATAAAGGTTATAGCCATAGATTCCTGATATATGAGTTTTTCCAATAGAGTAAGTTTTTTTGAAGAAAATAATTGTTTTCTAAAACCATGCAGAACGTGGTAATAGTATATGACGTGAGGGCGAGAAATGGTGATTTTCATTTTCAAATATCTTGAACAGCGTATATGACAGAAGAAAACCGTAAATACAAAAATTATAGCTCTTAATATGGCCTATAACACCGTTTAAACCAATTGGCCATATTTTCCACGAATTTTGATTTACTGCTAATAATTTAATAGCGAAAAGAACGATTTTCAGTTTCTTTTAGATTTTTGTTTATAATTAAAAAACCCTGTATATAATGAAAAAAGGCCTGGAATAAAAGTTATGGTCCCAAATCTCCCCCATTTCCTGGTTCAAAAATTTTGCCGATCGGGTAAATAGTTTTCGAGAAAATAATGTTTTTTCTGGAAGTCAAAATATACAAAAAAAAATTTCAATTTTTTTTTTAAAAACACTTTACGAGATTTGAGGAAGTTGTTTTTCAACAGATGAAATGCGGGTGTGAACTTCTACACTTCCGGGAAATCTGAAGACGATAGCAAATTTAAGACACCTATTAATTTTTGAATATAGCACTTAATATCTTGAATACCCTGTACAACAGATGAAAACCTTAAATATAAAAGTTTTATATGTTTATGCGGGCTATGTCGCCATGTAAAATGGACTGACATTCGAAGCATCGTCTTTCAGTTAGAGCAAATTTTCAATAATTTTTTTCAATTCCCATTTTTCAGTTTTTTTGAATTTGCCTGTACATTTTTGAAAAACTTTTTTAGGTCGCGTAAACTGTTTTCGAGAACTGATTTTTTTCTTGGACCCTGCAAACGCAGTTTTTATTTTTTTTTTAATACTTACCCTCCCCCCCAACCAAATTTCACGTCCAAAAAACAGTCGAAAATCGAAAAAAAAAAAAGATGAAAGCCGAAGCTTGAACGCAGCCATTTTTACATATCTTATGCACCCCGTGGACGGTTAAAAAGGAGCAAAATTTGAAGCGTGTATCTGAAACCTTTCGGAAGTTATCGTCGAAAAACCCTGGAACAGAGAACGTAGAAAGGGCAGACAATTTTTTTTTACGCTGATCATTTCTGTACCAATGGGGGTCCCGTAGGAAGTACCGTTACCGAGATCTCGAGTTTAGTGAGGAGCGCATATACTTTCGAAAAGAATCGATTTCATCGATCGGATCCCTATTACTATCTTTTTTTGTCGCAAAATTTGCCTCACTTTCATTTCCGGTGTCATTCTCGTTTCGATCGAGTTCACTTTTGAAATTTTACGTGTAGTTCATTAAAATCAAATCAAAGCGACGTTTTGATGTTATAATTAATAGACGCGGAGGTGGAATTTTCAAAGGAGAAATTAACTACATAGGAATTGAAAATAAAAACCATGCGTAATACTTATCACACTATATTTTTCACGTCAATTTAAAGAGCATTAAGAATAGGTTAAACTGCAATTAAAAACGATGCTTAACGTTCCCGAAATTTCGATTGCCGTTTTTCCCATCGCGCACACATTGGACTCTGGCCACGTTAAAATAAATATTTCCCATGAAATTGGCTATCGGGGATTGTTGGGTTTTCAAACAATGAAAAAGTTTATCGTCGCAACTGCAATGCGATTTTGTATATATCGAGTTGTTCGTCAGATTGTAGCGTTGAGACCTGCCGCGAATTTTAACGGGACAAAGATCGTGGTTCCGACAGCACGAGTCTACTTTCGTTTCTGCACCTAAATCGAAATAATCTTTGGCAATATCTCCTGTTCCACACCATTTAGTTCCTTAAACAAATATGGAATGCTTATTTCTCTGTTTTGATAGTTAAATGCTCTTCGACTGCCCGTTATAATGAAAAACTCAGTTACTGGAGAAGCTCTATAGTTTCGAGAAAAACGATCCCAACGTTGAAAGGATGTTTTGTGGAGATATTTTTTTTTAGTTATTATTGTATAAGTGAGTTTTTTTATTATTCAATGAGTGCCTGAAATTTTAAACCAATAATATAGAGAAATCGTTATCAGGGTTAATAAAATTACGATGACAAGTACATTCAAATATCTCTGGTTATTCAATCTAAAATATTATTTGCCATTCAAATTAGTTACAAAACCATACAGATTATCAAATCAGCAAAGCTTAAATAGAATAATTGCAGAAAATACAATAAATTTAAGAAAAAGAAAAAAATAAATAAATAAACGAGTAGCAAACGCAAGCCAATATATTAAGGTTCACGTTCTACGTAAGAGCTATTCATTAGTGCCTAAAAAGTGTTCTGGATAAGATATCAATTTTTTAATTGAATGTATGGTATATTTTTAAGTTATTTTGGAAGAATGTTTATTACTTTGTACTGGTCGTATTATTCTGTGAGAACACCATTTTCATCGCGTTTTATCATAATTTTTTTCTATCCAAATATTCATGTAGAAGTCACTGGCAAAAGTAAAAAATTAATTTTTGTGGTGGACGCAAATCAAATTTCAGCGAAAAATCAAAACCAGTATCAACGAAGTATTTTCTTTACTCGAAATCTTGCGTGTAAGTCTAATAGAACAAATCTGTTCTGTTCAAACGCTGTACGGACGTGTCAAAACTAAAAAAAAAACTTTTACGTTTAAAATAATACCTAAAGTGATAAGAAAATTATGAAAAGTGTAGCACCTACTACTACTAGCGCAAAAATTAAAAGGGTTACGACATATGTTAATTAACTTTTTTTCTTATAATCATTATATCTATTCTCATCCCAAAGTAATGTTGATATAAAAAGTCGACTTTACTAAAGGAGAAAGTACATTTTTGAGTTTTTTTTATTTTATTTTTTGTATCTAAAGGATTATTACTTAAACCACCACTGATTTAAATACCTACCAAATTACACTTCTTTGTAGTTTTATTAATATTATTATTTTTTATTATTATCCTCTTTATCAATTACCATACAGTTAAAGTGCAATTTGAAATCTATAAGCTAAGCATAAATAATATTTAGCACTAAAGTAATCACAAATAGTCGTTAGCACTGAACTTAAACTTTTTAGTAATACTCTAAAGTATATAGGGTTTATTAGGAGATTATAATGTTAAAAACGATATTTTTATTAGTTATAATCTCTCTCTATATATAATGGCGGTTTAAAACGTCAGTACTGATTCATAACTCCTATTTATTGTTTGATTTGTGATTGTTTGTGCTCTTGAATTATATTTGTTTTTGCCTTAACTGAGGCCCCTAGGTCGATTTCGATGTGGCAGTCGAAGGGTACTTTTTCCTATTGTTAAGTTAAATAGTAATTTGCACGATTTACAACCACTGAAATAATTACATTTTTCGATATGACGGGTGTAGAATATTAATATATTTTTACCTGGTATGATTCCTCGCAGCAACGTAAAAGGATCGTTTGTTAATATACTCCTGCCCTGATCCTCGGAAGTACTATTTTTCGTTTCTTCCTCGTGTTTTGTTGTGTGCTTGATGTCCTCCAGTTCTTTGCATTGGTCCATCAGCGTTAGCATTTCCGGAAAGGTAATGCCAACAGGTCTGGCCATCGAATGGAAGTCGCCGAGAACTTTCAGATATTGATCCGGTTCGCTTTAAAACAACACACGATATAGGTAGAGAGATTGCGAAGATGACAGAATTAATTGATGATAGAAATAAAAAATTACTAAGTGAACAAAGAGATCAACCATTAATATATTTGCATATACCATATACGTCGAATTGCAACCCAAAACTCGTCTTTGACGACGTCTGTTAGGAAATTTAAATGTCAATAACATGGGACTACACTTATAGCTTTACTAATAAGCACTATGCACATTCCTAAATAGCTTATAAAGCTTTTTTGACAAAATTTACATTTATTTATTATATTATATATTATAAAATTATAAAAGTTTACATCAATGCAGTTAAAATTAAATTAATAATAATCGATAAAAGGTGAATCAATGACTATTATTTTCGATTTAGGCTTTTATATGAGTTATAATGGAATAATATACAGTGTGAAAAAAAGATCAATCGGTACTTTGCTAACTTCTTTATTAGTGAAGTTGCAAGATTTCTTAAATTAGTGAAGATTTATATCATTGATTAAACGGGTTGTAACGGAAAATCAATTGAACATGATGCATCAGGGTTTTGTTCGGTGGTCTGTGGTGTTTCTATTCTACGGTATTGAGAGGTTATAATTTCGGGCTCTTAGTCATGTATCTCACGCACTTATGTCTGAACCTCATGACGCAACTTAAATAAAGGATTTGTAGTGATGGAGTTCTCTTTTATTATAAAATGCCTCCAATACGACAGACATAGAGTCTCCGATATATTTTGGGGAATTTATTTTTCCAAATGGAACACTGACAGATTTTATTTATAAGACGAAAAATAAAAGAGTTATATTTCAGTTTTGTCTAATTTGCGATTTTGTCACTTTAATTAGCGAATATAAGAGGTCACTAATTATTTAACCGGCACTAAGTGTCAATAATAAAGCAATGGTGCCTACCACCGCTACTTCTATGGAAAATAGTTTATTGTACAAATTTGATAAACGCCGTTTTAGTCACGAGTCTAATTTGGCACGAGCTGAGCAAAGCGAGTGACAAAAGACGTTTATCCACGTGTTGCATAGTATACTTTTTCTATGACCATTATAGTTGTTGAGGCAAAATCGAGACTAAAATGTCGTTTATCAAACTTGTTGCATAATATACTGTTAAATAACTTATTTACAAAATAAACGTCATTAAAACTAATTTGCCTTTTTTTTAAAAGGAAATATTCAATAAAAAAAATAAAACTTAATATAACAAAAAAAATATTTTGAAAGTTCCAAATTTATATTTTATAATTCAATTAGTTTTAGTTATTATTGTGAATTTACGAACACACGGATGTATTAAACTAAAATAACTTTATTAATAATGAATACACTGATTTTAAATTAACACTCTCTGTCATGTTAGGTTAGGTTCTGTTCAACAACGTTTCCTCTTCTCCTTTTTACAGTCGATAAATGACAAGTAATCACAACAGTTATAACTTATATTATTGGAGATTTGGAGATATTATGGAGAAAAACATTTTGTTCAAACTTTAATACTGTTTCCAAACAGACTTCTTTCGACATGTACTACAATTTGCAGTTAATATTGACGAGACAAATAAAAATCACTATCAATATTTGTTTATGCAGATAAGTTTGAGACAGGAGAAATTGATTTCGAGGATGTTTCCGAACTTTGTCCGCAAAAATGAAATATAATAAATATATAACAAGTCGCAAAACCGAAATTTAATAAACAGAATTTTTAGGAATTGCAAGGGACACAAGGATCAATTTTTATAAAAAAAGGCCTTTACACTATTTCCTGCTAGCGTCGGCCATTAAAAAAGTGCAAAACTAACAAAGGCCGAGATAATTTATTTAATGGTGTGTAATCGTGGCCATGTATTTAATTTGTTTTAATTATCACCGGTTTTGCAATATTACCAAGGGAAAGTAGTATATACACCAATAAATTGAATAAATTGTACTCCGCAAAACGTAGACAAAGTATAAATGTGTAATGTAACATGGGTCAAATTTTATTTTTTGGCTTCACATTTTAAACTTTCAAAGTACAAGTTTTCTAGTTCACATATAATATCTAGTTATTTATAGTTATACAAAGTGAATCGCTTCGTTTATCACCGTAATGAAGAATAAATTCGATAAGATTTAAATTTCAACCCAAGAGGTATTTAAAGCTGTTAATTTTTGATTTTCTGTTGAGTTGCATGAAATAACGAAATATCTTTGGTATCCTCGATTCGAAGAGGTAAAGTGAAGACGTGGTAAAATTTCGCAAGAAATTATATACCTAAAAATTTGAACCCATTCAATATTAATGAATAAACAAAATTAATAAATAAATACATATACCTGTTATTTATAGAATTCTATTACATGTTCTTATCTTCGGTGCAATAGAGGTGAACAACTTGAAGTTGACTAACTTAAACGACTTTTGCTGATTTATGTAGCTACAACCGTTTTGTAAACAAAAACCTTCAACTTTCGAATTAATGCACGCATTAAGAAAAATTTGATTATTTGTGCAGAAAATGATAAAATAATACGATCGTCAATTTTGATCAACCTTTAAAATAAAAGTGGTTTAAAACAATTAAGCAATATACGAAAGTAATAAAAGAACAAACACATTGTAATCATAGACATATGATAAGAGTTTCTCGGACTTAAATAACCATAGATGGATTAGCTTATTGTCAAGTGCTTGAATAATTGTTGAAATAATTATTACTTTAAAACTAAGTTTATGCGAGATTGTAATCCACTAAAAAATCACCAGCACGGAAATCTAATCGGACGGGCAATTACTTCAGCTATTTTTCAGTTTACCATGGCGATTTTAGACCATCTTGCAAATTTAGCATTAGATACGTTCTTAGCTTTAAGCAAAGCCTACCATTGTATTGATTTGCTTCTGTATAAATTAAATAAATATGCAATTCGAGGAAACGCCTAAATATAATCGTATCTCTCCTAGAGAAGACAGATAGTAAAGAAATAAAGAAATTACATCGTGTATAGCTGTGCACCACTCATTTGATAAGTTCCATATTTCTAAAAATACAAGAAAAAGCAGGCAGAACCCTGGTTGAAATCGATAACTGATTTAATGCAAATAAACTGATACTGAATAAAAATAAAACTAACGTGATTGTTTTGCGAACAAAATAGGATATAAACTAACTTAACCTCATAACTTTAACTTTGAAGAACTACTTTAAATAAACAAACAGAAACAAAATTCTTAGGACTTTATATCAGTGAATTTTCATCATGGGAGAAACATATCATCTCTGAGATTGTATTAGAATGTTGTCATTATACATGAACAGTCAAACTTTTAAAATCTCATATCATGCGAACTTTGATTCAGTCATGAGGTATGCTATAATCTTCTGAGGCAGCACCGTTGAGATACAAAGAGAGTTTATAGTTTTTGTGACGTCATTTCATTTTATGTATTGCTTATTTTTGTGAGTAGCTGTGAATTGAAATAAATAAGTATTGATTTTTTTGTATTTAGTATTTAAGCTGCGTTATAACTTTTGATTAAATCAACCACAACTAAGAATAAGCCATTACATACTGGCCAGCGAAATTTAATCAGGTTTACGAAAATATACAACGGTAATGTTTAGACTAATGCAATTGTGACAATACCAATTGTCAATCTCCCATTTTAATTATGTCTGTTCGTTCGACCGTCCCTGTACCTTTATCGGCAAAATTAAATTAAAATTTAACATTCGTAAAAGCCTGTCAAGCCTGTTAAGATTAAGACATTAGATTATAATATTCGACAGAATACAAATGTGCAGTTAACCAAATGCGTGAATACAAAATTAATTAAACAATACAACGTCATGTTCATTTTATTAGCTTGGTGTCCCGAGCATTTAGATTTTTTAAAATGCGACGTTCTTCGATCAAACGCAGTTTGTAAAAGTTACTATGGAAAAGTGGAGGTAGGGTAAGGATTCAAGGACGTCCAAAGCAAAGACAAAATGTAGAAGTTCTTTTCTGAACAGGACATTGTCAAATGTCTGTGACTGTTGATTTTTTCTGTTAGATAGTCAAATCACAGAAAAAAAAAAGGGAAAATTTTACGGGTTGTTGATATTTGAAATCAAAATAAAATGTTATTATTTATGTTCATCATTTTTTTTACAATTTTTTCGAAGGGCACCAAATTACTCCGTAGCCGACATTTTTACATTGTTTTGAAATGTTTCAAATATATCACTCGTTTTTCCATTAAAAGAAAGTCATTATCCATTATAATCATCAAGATTGCCATGAAAACAAATTTTGTTTTTGTCTGACCAAACGCCACGCATCTTATCACATCGTCTCTTGATTGCCTACCGATTTAATTATTTAAAATTTGTTAAATATTTATAGAAGTAAAATTGCCTTATTTAAACTCATCATAACATAGTACTAAGAAAAAATCAACGCGTAAGGAACGAAACAAAATACTCAATATTGGAATACATATTTTACTACCTAAATAATTCTATAATTTAAAAAACTGGTTGTTCTTCAGTTTGGTTAGTTGACTAAACCTAATCATTAATGGAAGAATAAGTGATAATATTAAATATTTTAAAACGGCTAAGCATATAATTCAATAAAATAATTATAAATAATAACATTTTATTTTGATTTTAAATTTTATTTGGCATTCTAAATAATGAATTAGCCAAATTCCAACTTTTTTTTAACGATAAGGTCTTTTATTCATATTTTAGGTTAGGATAAAGATATTGTAATGGGTTTTTTTTGTGGGCTGTTGAGCCCATATCGATGCATTTGTTAATTTATTTTTCATAAAATTATGTTTTTAGCGATTATGTCAGGAAATTCCACTTGGTGGCAAGGTAAGCAATCACAATCGCGTCACTCCTAGCACGATTGATAGTCTAGGAAAATCAATTTTTAGCGACTTTGCAGAATGAATATTTCTCAGCTTTAAGTTAACTATAGAAATTATTGTATAAACCGAGTTTTAAAATTCAAGATAACAATTACGCGACCTGGAGGTCATTTCAGAAAATCGAAAGTAATTTCCAGCATTTTGTCTTGAGACGATGTACTTAATACATTTTTTTTTAATTTCTAGGACTTCTAGGACTCTTTCCCGAATATCGTGCTTCGTTGTCCTTACTGAGACACCCCGTTCATATTAAATTTCTGCGAAAATGTATCAACCAGATGCATCACTGTTGTTACAAACAATAGAATTGATTACTAAAAAAAAATTAATTAAAAATTATTTTTGTTTGAAGAAAAAATCGTCTTTACACAATGAAGAGTGTAAAAAAACCAACCTTATAATGTTTTGTAAAACGAAAGATACCAAAATTGTCATAGCACTTTTAGCTTCCGAGAAATATTTAAAATAGAGTATTTGTAGTCATGAGAGTATTTATGTAATATTTTTAGAGTAGCTTAAAGGAGGTTTTCCGTTTTATATATTTGAAAAAGCGGTATAGTAAATATTTAACTCGCTTTTTGCTGCGGTAAGTAGTGAAGAAATGGAAGAAATATGTACCCAATAGTCTTAATTTAAAATATTACTTACTACACCTCGATAATTTCGCAATTCAGGAGCAGCTTTTTGGGACCCAACTCGACCACCGCTATCGCCTGGTCGTGAAAATATACCATCCGGAAGGAACCATTTTCGACTCGTCTTCCGCTGTACTGCTTCAAAACCGGCTGGTTGTCTCTATTAGCAAAGGGTCCAGGGAAACTAAACGAACGGGCTGGTTTTGTATTCGGTATACATGTGCACAAAATTAAAAACACGACGTACATAACATTATTGACGTTCTTTGTCAAAACCATATTCCTTTGTTCCGTTTAAAAATCCTGTTACCGGCAAATCATCATTTGGGAAACTGGCCGCGTATACCTGACCGGCCGATTGTTTTGAATAATTTGCTGCTAGAATGCATTATAACCCGCCGAAGCATTTTATGAAAGTGAAGTAGGTAGAGTGGGCCCGCTGATTTCTAGGTCAACAAAGAAATTCGCTGGTATATGGATACCACTGCGGATGAAACGCTTAAAGATGACACGGTTTCATAATAATGACCTAAAAAATAGTTTTTTTTCCATTAAAATTGTTGTTCACATATTATTTTGCGCCTGCGAAAATTAGATTTTGCGTAATGTATTTGTGCATGTGCTTTGCCCGAACCAAATCAAATAAAATAAAATAAAATTAACTAACTTTCGGCTTTTCGGGGAAATTGGGAGTAGAAAATAGTACATTTGAGTCACGACCGTACCGAGCATTTAATAAACGCTTCCCGCAGGCTAGATCGGTATATAATTAGGTATTTTACAGAAGGAAGTAGAAAATGGTATATTATGCAACAAGTGTTGTAAACGACTGATTTAAATAGTTTACCAAACGTGTTGCATATTATACTTTTTCAAGGACCGTTAGTTTTTGTGTACATTTATGCAATGCAATACGAATACTTCCACTGACCTAACCGTCAGAATTGACAAATGTTATAATTCAAGTCGAGCGATAAAATTTCCGAAAACACCCGATTGCTTCCAAACCCGTGGTAATAGCCCGAGAATGTCCGAACTGGCTCGCATCCATTGGACAAGAAATGCATGTGGTAAAGTGTACGCTAGATCGGTGTATAATTAGGTATTTTATAGAAGGGAGTGGAATTTTTTTTTAAAGTCACTTCTTTATTAAACACTCGCTCCGCTCGTGCCAAATAAACTCGTCACTCAAATGCCGTTTACCACACTTTTTGCATAATATACTATTATCAAAGGTGTTGCATATTATAATTTTTCTACGACCGTTAGTTTTTAAGTACATTTTTGCAAAACAACACGAATACATTCACTGACATGACCGACAAAATTGATAAACGTCAAAAATCAAGCTGTCGGTAATATCTCCGAAAACATCCCATTGCTCCCAAACCCGTGAGGTAATATCTCGGAAATGTCCGAACTGACTCGGATCCGTGCGAAACAAAACTGACGTGGTAAAATGACCCTTTCCGTACGTTCGATCGGCATATAATTAGATATTTTCCAGAACAGAGTAGAAAAAGGTATTTTTGCTTTTTTAGCTTTACACATATATACAAATTAAAAAAAATCTGCCGAAATGCATCATTTTTATTTTCCGGACTTTAGAATAACCGAAACTAAACAAGAATACAGTTTTAATGTAACTGATTTAAATACTTTTGAAGCCCGGAAAATAGAAATGGTATATTTGTAAATTTATAAAAACTTCTAAAAGACAAAAACACAATCCCTATTTATGTAAACGATTTCGGATATGTTGAGCGACGACATTATACTGGATGGTTGAGTAAGTGGAGAGTAATATTCTTTAATTAATTAGGTTTGAATGATATTGTCATTTTTTTCTTAGGTTATATCTTTAGAAATTAAAATATTTTTCAAAAACGCCCACCAAATTTTAATTTAGAAATTTTAAATTGGAGTGAAAATTTGAAAACTTTAAGATTTGGGGAACTAAATAATTAATTTTAAAATTATCCACGTTTTTTTGTTTGTAGAAATGAAATTCCAACTTTTAAATTTAATTGTTATGTATACAGGGCATTATTTAATAAATGTAGCTCTTACTCCTAGGGGGCGTTACCTACTATGTATTCCCTCATTTCCAAAAGGTCAATAGTTCTTTGAACGATCCAGTATTTTATTTTTATTATAAATTAATTCCCAATCATTCTTAATAGAAGAAATTGTTTTTCAAATATTTTGGTTTGAAGTCATCAATGCATACAATTGTTTTTAAAAAAGTGAAACAATTCTAATGACGAAAAAGAAGTAGGCTAGTAAATTTATTCTACAATGCGTGTTTTGTGAAAAATACGACGTACAAAGCGTTTCTAAAATACTAGACACTTATTTTCCAGAGATAAAAACATTTAAACAAAGACAATGAAATATTTTAAAGTGGCTATATAAAAGATGTTTAAAAATTTTGGTTTCGAATTTGCAGCAAATATCTTGCGTTAAAAACCATATCAAAATTCCCAAAATATTTTTTTCAGGCCTCTATTTAAAAAAAGTTGTACTCTCCGGCCGGGAATCGAACCCGGGTCTCCCGCGTGACAGGCGGGGATACTGACCACTATACTACCGAAGACTATGAAAATAGTTTTATTAAACGATTATTAATTGTACAGACTACCATTTAAAAAAAAAAAAAAGGTGAATCCAAATTTTATTGTTATTGTTAATCGGAGAGATTCTTTCCCCTGATCTCCCGAGGGAAAAATAACCACATGTTAAGCAAAAATGTATCTAAACATATTATGAATATTTCTCGGGCATAACGGCATTTTACACCTAAAATCATTTGCTTAGGCATTTAATGTGAAAAACAAAGCGATACAATATCAAACTTAAAGCAAATTCCCAGATGTATGCCTGCGTTTGTTTTGTTTCAGATATTATCTTTGGCATTTGGGCCAGTTTTCTTCGAATGTTTATAGCATTGCGAATAAATTGATTTTAAATGACAATAAAAAAAGATCCTCTCCGGCCGGGAATCGAACCCGGGTCTCCCGCGTGACAGGCGGGGATACTTACCACTATACTACCGAAGACTCTGCAAAATTTAGACGAACATGTGAATTCCGGAAAAAAAAAATTTGCGCTCGTGGTTGGATTAACACAAAAATTAAAAAATATAACAACATATAATAAAATAAAACATATAACAGCTTATTATACAACAAAGATTATAAGCGACATTTTAATGGCGAGTTTGTTTTGCGCGTCGATTGTTTAATAAACGACTCTGCAGTTAACATCAGTGTTACAAATCTATCGAAAATATACAATCGCTCCCAACTCGTGATTAAAGTATCGGAAAAACTCGGAATGGCTGACGACAGTATTTATGGAATTACAATTGGTTAGTTTACTGTTGGGGGGGGGGGGGGGGGGGGGGGAGAGAAAAAAACACATTTAAAAAGAATAGTTTAAAAAAAAATGAATTTATTTGGAAAAAAATACTCTCCGGCCGGGAATCGAACCCGGGTCTCCCGCGTGACAGGCGGGGATACTTACCACTATACTACCGAAGACTCTACGAAATTTAAGACCATAAGTGGTAACTGCGGTGAAATTAAATTGAGCTACTAAGTAACAAATGATCAAGGATCCCCAAGCTACTAACTGAGATCAAGAAATGTAAATCTCTATAGTGGCAAAGTGCTTTAGTAAACAATTCATTATCAGCGCCGACAATAATTCTACACCGTGTGTAGAAATACGCTGTGTTATGTTCCATTTAAAGTAATAAAAAAAAATATTTACAGCCCCGTCAGCAGCACCTCTTTCAAAGGTAGCCCACGTGCAGAATGCTTGATAACTAAAATTACTTTTATTACACTGATTAGTTAGATCTTATATTAATTCTTCGTTTCGGGAAAAAATGCTTTTGAGATAATTTTGCTATACCAAAAAAATCGTAAGATGTGCAGTATCGTCAAAATTAAGTGTCCAGTTTCACAAATTCAATAGGTTATGATTTTTCTAACTCTAAAAGACTCCCTGTGCGTTATTTTTTCGTATTGCATATACTTTACAAGTGACCATTTTCAAAATTAACAATATTTATCTAAAAAAATAATTTTAAATTTTTTTTAAAATAAATAAATTTGGTAATTTTAGTGACACGACACCAACATAAAGCTTATGAATTCTCATAAAAAAAATATATTATCAATACATAACACGTTTTAATATATTATGTATACGCGACATATATTTTGTTCTTTTTTTCGGCACAATCTCCAAATCTAAAAGCAACAAAATAAAATAAAAATGTACAATATTTAATAATATACATATATGGTTATAAAAGCTGACACTCAGCTACTTTTTCCTGGATCTGATCCTCGAGGATTTTCTTATTTTATAGTGTGGACAACTACAAAAATCAAAGGCATTGATAATTATATTTTATTTAACACATAAATACTTACTCGGAATCTGATGACGTTTCATATAAAACCATTCTTTGGCGTAAAGTGCTGCTATATTCTGTTGTAACTACCTAAAGGGAAGAAAAAGAAATCTACTTATTCACCCCAAATCAATTTAAAAACTTACTCTGGATGTTTGTTTGGATGAACTACCCCTGCATTTTTTTCTTTTTACTTGAAGCTCCTTGGCCTCAACTGAAAATAAAGTTCCAATAAAACAGGAATTGAAAGAAAAGAAATATTTATGTACCATGATTTACTGAACTTTGAACTTGCAAGTTCCTCGCTTCTCCTGGTTGATCGACACTTACAGCATTATTTGCCAGTGTACTATTTTGGTTTCTCTCTTTTAATCGACCATCTTTTGCAAGGTGGTTGCTGGCACAATTCGGTAATATTATCTGATGCCTTTCCTGTAAAACTCTAATTCGCATTCCATTTCAACTTTTAAAAAAATAAAAGATAACCTAAATGATCATAGATATAACTATGTGCATATTAAGTTTAATGTTGCAAAATGCACTAAACTGTTTATATGGAAGGTATACAGATCATCGAATCACTGCGTTGACATCTTCTCAAGGATATTGGGAAAGTGTTTAACAGGAATACTCTCCATAACAAAATATATCTCAGCAGAGGGCAATTATACGCGAGAGCAGAGGTATATTACATTGGTGTCTAATTAAAGAGTAGCGGTAGGGTGTGTCTTACAGTGAATCGTCTTGGCTTTTGATGAATCCCGCCCTAAATAATTTATATAAATAAGACGCAAGAAAGGGGTGAGTTAGGTAGATGTCAACCACGTGTTACCTGGCAGTGTTTAATAAACTGTTTTATGGTGCGTTTCGAAAGACTCATGAATATATCACTAATTTTTCCGATATGTCGCGACACCAAGTAAAATCAAATGTGAGAGCAGTAGAGATTCCTAATTTAATTGCCGTCAAAAGTCAAGACGGTATATTTTGGGAAACACCATAACATAATACATTTACAAACGAACAAGTTTTCGTTTTTTTCTCTCGAAAAATTAAAGAGTACCTGCTTAATTACCATTTATCTAATCACAGCACTTCCAGACTAAGGTACTGAAGAAAAACACTGCATGCGAAGCAAAAAGAGAAAGCTTACAAACCTTTAACTAGATCAAGCACCTAATGCATTGAAATGGTATGAAGATTGGAGAGGAGTTTAATGACTTTTTTGTTAAGTATTGTGTAAAATTTATTGAAAAAATATTTGCAAAGTAGATTCAAATCTAACCTTATTGAAATGTGACTCTAAAAATATTAAAAAAATATATATGTCTGTATCATTCTCAGAGAATGTCCTTTATTTATTAAACTATTCAAAAACTTACCTTTATGAAATTAAAAAAAAAAAAACATTTTCGCAGAAAAAAAAAGTTTATTCATTAAGAACACCTGGACCTTAGTTTGGCAGCAGGCTTTTGATTTTTAATCTAAATGTAATCTCCTATGTTCTAAATAAATTTTATCTTTGTATTATATGAAACTTTTAAGCAATTTATAATTTTGAACTCTATTCAATTTATTGACTAATTTAAACGCTGTAAACCTATTCTGTTCTTACTATTTTTATCATCAATTCCCTATTAAGTGGTTGCAAATCCTTGCAAGGAGGCATTCCCGCGTTCTCAAATACATTTCTTCGCAGCACATTCGCTCCGTTTATTTTTGACCCGTTCGATCTGAGTGACCTTGCAGATAATGACTTGGTATCTGTATGAAGCTTTCTCGCCACAATTTTGCTAATAACCAAGTTATTCGCTCTATTTGGTCTTTTAGAAATGTCAGTTTGGGCTCTAATCGGGTTGGGTTTTCTATTGGGTGTAACAATAACGCACTCATTTTCACGATAGCGTTTACTGCGACTCGAAGTACTTGACGAGCTAGATCTGAGAGACCTAACGGATACCGAATCATCAGTATCCGTCGTTGATCTGGTGCTTTCACTATCATCGAAGTTATTACAGATGTTTCGTTGTTTCGTTAGTTTGACAACACGATCATATTTGATGCGTCTTAGATTTGAGGAGTTGGATTGGACGTCGTTTAAAGATAAATCGTCGGTTTGGTCTATCATGTTATTATTTGCTTTTTGTCTCGTGATTTTCACCGAATTTGTTATGTATTTAAGATTCTTGGCTGATCGCAGATTATAACTTCGGTTTTGACCATTAGCCAAATTGTTACTATTTCCTGGTGTTTTCGATGATGTGGTCCCACCAAGTTTTGCTTTTTTATTGGCGGGTGTATCCGCACTGGACTTTAATTCGCTCACAGGTTTGTGTTTGCTACTTCTTAACTTCCTTCTTAAGGATGATCCTAAAGAATTTGATGGTTCGGGACTAAGGCTTGATGGTATTACATCGCTATCAGAACTAACTATGGAATCTATAATATCAGACACTCGCGAATTTGTTTTATTTTGTGGAGTAACTTCTTCAAATTGAGTGGTTTGTGACACATTTTCAACGAAGTTTCCAGTCCTTTCATTGTCAACAGTTTTATTGATATCAATTTCTTTCTCAGGAGTATTACTGACTCTGATTTCTTTCATGGCAGCAGAAATTTTCGTCAAAAATTTGGTTAGGTAAATCTTGCATGACTTATCAAGCTCCTCCTATAATATAAGAATTAACAGATTAATATTTTCCATGGTTGTATCAACTCCAGTGCAGGTACAGTGTGCGCACCCATATTCAAATACAAGAAACAACAAACCAGTCATGTTCTAATTATTATGTTCCGTTTCTTAATGCCAGGGAGTTATAAATGATTACTGAACTGTAAAACTTAGTGGCAGTATTCCATAGGAGTGGTATTGTACCTATGATGAATGAATGAATTATTCTACTTTACTTTATAGCAGTTTTCGGCAAAGTTCGTTCTTAAAAATGGTTAATTTTTCTGAATTTGTTGCTGAGAAAGGCATTCTAAAAACCAAACTCGCCTTTCTATTGTGTGCAAATTAGTGTGATCCTAATTTCGGAACCATTCAAGAGGTCTTGGAACCAAGGTCTTCAAAACTGAAATATTTAATTTATCGGAATCTGAATTTTATGATATAATATATAAGTTGTCCAGCCTGTTTAAGGATCCCTATAATTACAAATTTACATTTCATTACTCTCTCTCATTAAGAAACGAAATATATATTTCATATGATCCAAAAATAATGAATTCGTGAAAAATGGATAATGGTCCTTTTATTATTTAAAGGATGGAAAAAACTGTTTAAAATTTTCGTTATAGTTTCAAAAATATAGTATAGCAAAGTATTGTTTCAAAAGTTTACGCCCTGTGTAAACACTTTGATGGTGTTTCATGGGAATATTAAAAGAATCACTCACCTCATTCAAAACCAAGCGACATTGGGTAATTATATCTTGAGTGACGACAATGTCTATCTGCAAGAGATTCAACACTTTTGCCAAATACACTGACACTTTTTCACCTGGATGATCGGTAAGTTCTTTAAGTATTGAAAATGCGAGAGTCTGGTGAACGTTAACCATATCTGTCTAAAGAAATATCAAAATAAAAAAAAACTTCTCCAAAATAAAAAAGTTTTCCTTACTCGGCCTTCATGGGGATTAGTGAACATCACCAAAAATTTAATTAGAGAATCCATCTTTACTTTTCTCAGCGGGCTGGACATAGGGGAATTGGTGATGGCCCTTAAAATTGGTATTACCGCTTTGACAAATGTTTCTTTGGCAATCTTGATTCTATTTACATATTCCTCAAGCATTATGGCTAATCTCTGTTCCAATCTTATGGACAATTTTTCTAAAAAAAAAACAATTAAAGAAAGGCTATAGATCCATTATTCATAGTTCTACTAGAGATAAAAATTGAAATCTGTAAAAGCTTTCAACTGCTACTGTGGCAGCCATCCTCAGTGGACCGCGAGTACTGCTGCGGTAGTGGTTCAGTTGTTGAAGTCGTGCCTGTGTTGTAACGCTCGGACGGACGGCGAACTGAGCAGGTTTTAGTACGGCCCGCCCCGTTGGCGTGTGTGCTTTCTTTTAGACATTGTGCCACATTTTATTTACTTGTAACCCTTCGTCTCTCTCTTGTTACTTTCAAAAATCGATTAAATCGAATTTTCGAAAGTATCTGCGCTCGTATAAAAATTTTATATAAGTCATACGGGATCGCCGTCGAAAAAAAAATTTTTTTTTGTCTGTTTGCCCGTTCTCCGTTCTCGTCTTTTGGTTTTTCCTGAATAACTTTCGAACCGTTGGAGCTACAAAATTGAAATTTGTCTCCTTTTTAACCTTCCACGAGACACATAAGGTTATAAGAAATGGCCCTGATCCGACGCCGGTATCCATCTTTTTTTCGCGATTTTTTGGACCTTGCTATGAAATATGATTAGTGTCCGAAATTTGAAGCAATCGACTTCATATTTGGCACATACATGCAGCTTTGCCCAGTGATGGGACCTATTGAAAATGGGGGGCTGGGGGGACGGGAAGTGTTTAAAAATAAATAAAAATCGCGTGTGCAAGGGTCTACAAAAAAGACCATTTTTCAAAAACAGTTTACAAGACCAGAAAAATTCTTGAACCAGAAGACGCAGAGGAAACGACTCCATAAACTTTTATTCTTGAAAATTTTTCAAAATTATACAGGGTGCGCTGCAAATTCAAAGAAACTGAAAAATAGATCCCCCTATTATTGAAAATTGGCAATAATTTCAAATCTGTGTTTTAGATGTCAGTTTCCTTTACATGAAGATATAGCCTATATAGAGACCTTAAACTTTCGCGTGTTCGCGATATTCCGTGCAGTATTAAAAAAAATAAGTACTCCAAATTTGCAGCTACCGACTTCAGACTTGGGAAAGAAGTTGAAGTCTGGACCCACATTTAGACTCTTTAAATTGGGAACCATAAATATAACGCGAAGTATTTTTTTTTAATTTTTGAATTTTTTTGTAGTTATTTTGGCATCCAGAAAAACAGCTTTTCCTCCAAAGCCATTCATCCGATCGGAAAAATTTTACATCCGTAATACGTGGGAGACCAGGCGCTATAACTTTTGTTTCACGCATATTTTCGATTATATATTATAAAGAGTTTTAGTTATAGACAAAAATCAAAAGACCCTGAAAATTGTTCTTTTAGAGTAAATTATTAACCGTAAATCAAAATTCGTACAAATAATAGCTAATCCGTTCAAACAGTGTTATATGTGAGATATTTGAAATAATCCAAATGAAAATCACTATTTCTCGCCTTCAATCTAGACGCGATGACGTCATTTACCAGGAAACTAGGGAGATCCAGGCCTATATCTATTTCGAACATTGTTGAAATTATATACAAGGTACGTCGTTTGTGAGCAAAAAATTCTAATAGATCCTAGAAATTTCCGCTTTTGTGGGTGAATTATTGGCGATGCATGAAAAACTTTAGGACAAGAATCCGCAAAGCGCCTTTGTTTTTGAAATAAAAAGGTGATTCGCGCTATTTGCTACGAATTCGCCCCGTTCACCCCGTTCGAAAGCAATCTTGTTAAAATTGTCTTTGTATTTATGTATCGTCGAAATTGTTACAGCCTTTTACAGACGGAAATTATTTAATTCTGCTGTCAGGTGTTCCGGATCGGAGATTTTAGTCGCCCTGACTACTAATCTGTTTTTCATTACGTCCAAGATTGGGAGTTATCCATCTTGTTCTACTTCCATTGTAATTTGGATTTTCGGATGTATCCTATTGAGATGCCGGAGAAAATTTTCTAATTCATCTCGACTGTGATTCCATGTCAAACGTGTCATTGACGTACCGTAGCCAATGGCTGGGTCGTTTTTGTTAGTTTTTAGTGCCCTTTCCTCAAATTCGTCCATGTAAAAATTAGCAACAACGGGGCTAATCGGACTTCCCATCGAGACTCCGTCTCTTTGTTTGAAAAATTCCAACGGAAATATGTGATCGTAGTGGGAATTCATAAACAGGGAGACTACGTCAACACTGATTAGTATATCTGTGGGTGTTAGCACAATGTCGTTAATAATTTTGATGAAATGTCTCAAATCCCGCACATAGGAGCTGGTTCCGCCCGTAAAAGGCTGTAACAATTTCGACGATACATAAATGCAAAGACAATTTTAACAAGATAGAGAGGAAGGGTTACAAGTAAATAAAATGTGGCACAATGTCTAAAAGAAAGCACACACGGCAAGGGGGCGGGCAGTACTAAAACCCGCTCAGTCCGCCGTCCGTTCGAGCGTTACAAGAGAGGTACGACTTCGACAACCGGCACCAGTATCGCAACAATCTACGGTCCACTGAGCAGTGGCAAATGAAAGCTTTGGTAGCAAAACTAATAGACTATGACCTAACAGCCCGGAAAAACTCATTAATTATGATAACAGAATGGTTATTGATAAATTACTAAATTACAATAACATAAGAGTTGGCTGCAAAAAAATTATTTGGTAATTGAAGATCAAAATGTATCACATATCTTCCTTATAACCTACTTTTAAAATAATAAAAATTAGATAGGAAGTGTTCCTGGGTACATATTATGTTACTCAACCAGCTTTCATATACTCTCAACCTAATTTAGAGTGTACAAGCAAGATCCTCTAGTTTTCTAGTAGAACTACATGGATTCAAAAAAAAAAAGAAAAAAGGAAAGGATGATACCCTTCAGGAATTTTCTGGGAGGATATAATAGGTCCCGGTTTGCACCTTGAACAAAGTATGGAAAATATTATTAGTTAGTTAAAAAATAAGCAGTTATAACATTTTCAACTAGGGAACGGAGAAAGAAAAAAAAAAACATTCGCTAGTCAAACACGCGACACAAACCTGTTAGTGGGTTGAATAATTTTAAAACCAGCCTAGTAATTATATGTGGCGTTGTAGGGAAATCACTTATTAGCACCTTTCCTATTGCTTCCGCTGCAGTGATCTTGATGTCTTCATCCTAAAAGGTTTTTAAACATTATAAATAATCGTTTGAAAACAACAATCTTCATTACCTCATCATCCATTAGATCCAAAATCATATCGACAATGACCTCAGGACTCAAGGTCATATTACAGTTTGTTAATTCCACGTCTTCGTCTCTATACAATCGTCTTTGATGCAAAGTGCTAGAGTCTTTTGCAGTAGTCGTTTCTTCTCTTCCAAACATACTTACCCCATACAGCCGCAAAAAATCACTCATTGCTCCGATCGCTACCAATAAGGTTGATTTGTTCTGATGGAAAAAAATCTAAAACTCAATATTTGTACAAACGTTTGCACAACATTGGCATTGATTTCACTTTCACTTACCGCAGCACAAAACTTCATAACATATTGTTCCGCCATAGTGCGATCAAGCAAACAGTACATGGCGAGACACTTAAGCATACTGTGCTCAATGTTGGGACTGACAACTTTCATTACAAGGGGCAGCAACAGGTTTTCTTTCCACATTGTTAAAGACAGGGAAGGCTCTCTCTGGTTGTAATGTTTTAAAATCTCAACCAATAAATTTAAACAACGGTATATGGTTTCAGGATCATTTTTAATAATCCTAACTTTTTCGGCTTCCACATTCTGCAATGACAGCTCTTCCAATTTAATATGGTATAGATCCAATTCCTTCTGAATTGTAGCGGCTTTTAAAAAGTCCTTTGCATCTAATGCATTTTCCAAGTTTCCTTGCAGAATATTAATTTGTACCTTTACTTCGGCGACCTAGAACATATCAAAATTGTTTCTATATTTAAATAATTTGTAAATCTATGATTTTTTTTTTTAGATAGCTCATGTGGGCAGGTATCTAAAATGCAGCAACGGTCAAGGAATAAGAAAAATTAGAATCTTTTCCTCGAGAATATTAATTTGTACTTTTACTTCCATGACCCAAAACATAGCAAAATTCTTTTTTGGTTTTAAAAAATACAGAATTTATTAATTTGCCATGATGTTTATGTTTTTTGATTTTTGTGTTATTATATTTTAAAAAATTATTATTGATCAGTATGTGCTTCAAATAGTCGTTTAAATTACTAACAACAAATATGAAAGGCAATGAATGAGAAGTAAAATAAAAGTGGTTAATTTTTAATACATAATTAAATTCCATACAGATATTTTGTAATTTTATTTTTATGTTTTGAATATCATTGCAGTCATTTTTTTAATATCCCTTTTGCATATCTTTCAAATATGCGTTTTTTGCTTGTCTCATTTTCAAGACATATCAATGACTTGTTAGACTCCTCGAAGCATATTCTTCACTTTCTTACCTTAAATTCTGCTTCATGCAGAGCATTCTGTGATGGTTCTGACTCTGTAAGTGGCTCCCTTATATTAGAAATAATTTCAGACATTTCATTTACAAATGTATTTAAATTTGTCCAGAGTTTCCTTGCGATAGAAACAATTTTTGTTAATAAACGTCCTTCCACTTTAAAATTCTCTAAAATATTTCTAAGCATCTTTTCAAGTGTTTTTCTACCCACCTAAAATTTTCAATCTTAATAACATAATAAGATCAACATAAAATAACACTACCTCTTCTGACATGTCAAAAATATCAACAATATCAAACAAATTGTACAAGATATACTGCAACTCATGATATTCACATTGATCCAGTTCATTAATTCTGCGCTTTCTCACAACACTAGAAAATTATTTTATGACAGTTTTTTCCAAGACAATTTTAAATAGAAGGTACACAATACCAAATAAATCCTTAAATTTTTGAAATTTTTACCAAAAATATGGAAAGTGGAAACCTACTTCTCAATGAAATTGCAAAAAGCAGTGAGCTCTGGAAGGGCCATATCTAGAAATTGCTCCATTTCATCATGACTCTTTAAGTAATGTGCAACAAGATTCCAATAAAGAGTCATTTCTCCGCTGACCATATCCAAAGGTAAAACTTTACCCTCATCTAAACAAAGTGATTTCATAATATTGTTAACTGGTTCACTCCTAAAAAACAATTGAATCTGAATTACACTTTATTTCTCACTACTCAAAATGTATACCTAAATAACACTTCCACAAACTTCGTAGACAAATCTTCTGATACTAGAATGTCAACCTCATCTGCATCTAATTTAATGGCTTTCAGAAATGCCACATAGTCACCTTTTAAATCACTAATCCATTTTGGTATTAAACCATCAATTACTACTTTTCTCACCAGTTTAGAGGTTTCACTAAATCCCTTTCTCAGAATTAGTTGCCTATCAACAATCTTAAAATGCTTTGGTTCTAAAGTCATGAAACGCTTAAATGCTTCCACTCTCACGGTGGGATCAGAATCCAACACACAATTTTTTAAGTCTTGAATAGTGACAGGACTAGGGGCTAGTATTTTAACTACTTCACGCCTTACCTAAAAAAAATCATATAAGACTCTTTTGAACAAAACTAGTACATAACACAACTTACGGCACCAACTGGATCTTGTAAACATAAAAGCAAATTGTGTATTATTGGGCATTCAGGATTGGTAGGAACTTGTAAATAATTAAGTGCTAATATTGCTTGAATCCTTACACTTGGTTTTATATCCTAAAGAACAGAAATCTGTATAGTTGTCATCAAATATTTAGCACTATATTACCCTGACTTTTTTTAGCATAGCATCCTCAATTGAATCCCAAAGGTCAGTATTCAAGCACAAGTTATCCAAACTTTGTAAAGTTTTTGAGACAAATGCACATGCATTTTGTTGACAAATTTCGGAAAGTACATCATGAAACTGAAATTCAGAAAAAAATCAAAATCTATATATGAATACCTCTTCCACTTTTCTAAATTAAAGTCACCTTAAGAACCTCCTCTAGTACATCTTCCAATAATGAGTGAGGTTCATTGTCAACATTTGCGTCTGGATTCTCAGACACTGTTAAAGTTCCAATGAATTCTGTATAAAATTGTATAATGTTGCGAGCGTAAGGATCTTCTGGTTTTTGCTGCAAAGCACCCAAAATAATTTTCAAATTTATTTCCAAAAATTCTTCGTAATTGCACTAAAAAGAGTTTCTTTATTAGTAAATTGAATAAGAAATAAAAAGGTTAAAAAACATCAGTTGCTATAACTATTCTTAATTAATAGTACTTGTTTGTGGATACTTACACTGAAATATAGTTCTTTTAAGAGTTTGATATTGCGTTGACAATTCGAGGGACTAAGTTGCGCATTGCCGACTATACGTAGAATACCTTGCTTCATTTTGTATAAATAACTAATTAAATATATTTTAATGTATAGCACATTTGATTAGGATTAGAATTTTCCCAAATAATTTTTACTTGACACTTCGCATTTGTCGTTAATACAAAGCGTTCTTTCAAAATTTTAAACACAAACAATAATGCCAACCAAAGATTAAACCGAGGCAAACACACTGCATAGATAACAGGTATAAGCGACAGCATCTGCAGATTCATTTTTGATTCGAGAATCACACACAAATCTCAAATTTATTATGATAAACCACAGAACTCTTTTTAGGGGTCTGTGTAATTTTTTTAGCAACCATTGTAAAATTTAATATCAATGGATCCGAAATGCCCTACTCGGTCTCTCCTCTACACAGAATATTCTTCTTTTTCTATTCGTGGCTTTGTTTTATGGCAATGTGTCAGGGTAAAGCGAACTCTGAAATTTCCCCAATCTAATTTTATACTTTTTATATTTGATTCTGCAATTTTCACTAATCTTTTAGACTATTAGTCTGAAATCTCACCCCAACGGTAAATTCGAACGAAACTGATGTTCCCTTAATCTATACTGAAATCCAATAATGAGTTTTCCCATATTCACGTGTGACAGTTTGTTCAGACGAGTAGAGGTTATGGCGTTGTTTTACGCAGTTCAAAACATTTTTGTATGGTTTTAGGCTTAAATTTTTATTTTTTCATATTTACCCTCAGGAACTAGAACTTTATTTTTTAAATTTAGTTATTTATCTAAGGTTTTATCAAAGAAAAAGTATAATCGAGAATATGATTACACGAAGTAAATACTGTAATGTACTTGAAACAAGTACTTGAATTGTAATCGTTATGTCAATATTATAACGACCAAGTTGAAATATATTTCTTTCTGCGAATATGGCTTTAAAAAACTCCTGCTACATTTTAACGGGTATGTCTTCAATCTACCGGCTAGAGAATATGTTTTTATACTATCAATTCCAGAAACGGTGAAATTTGTTATTCCCAACAGAGGTTTTAGTTTTCATACGCTTTCCAAAGAACATTTAGCATTACAGAAAATATGTAGAGACTTTTCAGAAAAGCATTTGAAACCTATCGCGGCTCGGTTAGACAAAAAACATGAATTTCCAGTTAAAGAGGTTTTTATTTTATTCAAAAGGAAGAGTTTAGAAATTTTGAGGTGTTTGCACTTTTTTTTAGATTGAAACTTTAGGTCAGTTGGGATTATTGTCAATTAATGTAAAAGGAAAATATGGTGGTAGTGATCAAAACACATTAGGTTTGGCAGTAGCTGTTGAAGAAATTGCAAAAGGTTGTGGGGGTACTGGAGCTATTGTTTCAATACACAACTGTCTCTATGCCAATTTACTTGATAGGTTTGGTAATGAAAAACAAAAAGAAACATTCCTTAAGCCATTCACTAAAGAAAATCTGGGATGTTTTGCTCTGAGTGAGCCAGGTATTGGGTTAGTGTAAGAATCATTCATTTCTAATGTCATTATTAGTTGGTGTTTGATTTAAAGAGGTTAAATTAAATTAAAAACTGTTTGATATATCTTAGCATCTAATTAAATTTCTACTCTGTATGTATATAAGTGGAGAATCAGTTTCTGTGGTGGCATATTAGTTATTTATATATAATTATATTACGATTTACCAATGGTTTTTGTTTGATTTTAGATGCGGGAAGTGACGTTGGTGCCATGTCAGCTACAGCTTCGTTAGATGGTGACAAGTACATACTAAATGGAATTAAGTCGTGGGTTACCAATGGCACTCAAGCTAAGGCTGCTGTTGTTTTCGCTACAGTGAACAAGAACCTTAAACACAAAGGCAACATAAATAGAAACCAAAGACATTTTACCACAGAATAGACCTGTAATATTTACAGCATGCAGAATCACAGTCTCTATGGTTGGTATACCTCCATGTGCATGACAATTCCAAATTTTGCGGTTGTCTCTTTAAAGAATAAAAACTGTACATATTAAATTATTAAAAATGTTTTATTTCTTTGATCTCAACATCTTAATTAGTACACAATAATATCCTAGTATCATCCAGCCTTAATTCTTTATCTTGCTCCATATTGCCAGCATTGCACAATTGCACAATGTTGCAGAGCTACCGATTTTAGTATTTCCCAAGATCTATTATTCATTGTTATACTGTGTTTAAAGACTTGTCGGGTCTCCCCTATGGTTCAATGTCTTTGATAACAATATAGTTTTTATGCAGTTTAAGTACTTAATTTACAGGTATTACCGCGTTTGTAATTCCTATCCCAATTGCCGGATTATCGATGGGTAAATTGGAGGATAAATTGGGAATAAGAGCTTCACCCACTTGTACTTATATTTTCGATCATGTCCAAGTGCCAAAGGAGAATGTAATAGGTATGCTTATTACAGTGACCTCTTCAATAAGTATTCAGGAAAAAAAGCTGACATTTACAGGTAATGTTGGTGAGGGTTTTATAATTGCAATGAAACAGTTAGAGAAAGCAAGAGTGGGTATTGCATCTCAGGCTTTAGGAATTGCGCAAGCTTCACTGGAAGTGGCGGTTAAGTATGCAGCCCAAAGAAAAGCATTCGGCCAACCTATTAATCAGCTCCAAGCTGTTAAAGTAAGTTTTAGTTGCTGAACTAATATCCTATAAATTTATTAGCATTATTTTGGACATTGTAAATTGTCAGTCTGTTTTTGGCAAAATTGTGCTTTGTTAGCTTTTTGCTATTTTGTTAGGATTGGCTTGGACATTGTAGATTATTACAGTATATTTTTGGCAAACTTGTACCTAACTGCATATTTATTACCTAATTTGTTAGCATTGGCTTGGGCATTGTAGATTATCAGAGTTTATTTTTGGTAAAATTGTACCTAACTGGATATTTATAACTTAATTTGTTAGCATTGGCTTGGACACTATAGATTATCAGAGTATATTTTTGGAAAAATTGTGCTTGTAATTGCATACGTATTATCTATTGCATATGTATTATCTATGAGTTTTTTAGCTGCATAAGGTTGTAGAATACAGTCAATTTGGCTAATTTATGTAGGGTATATGTGGTGGTTACTATTTTCCTTTTACTCAACAATACATTTTAGTTAAGATTAGCTGAAATGGCAACAAGGCTGGAGGCTGCGAGGTTGATAGTGTGGCGAGCTGCTATAATGTGTGATGAACAAGAGCGCACAACAAAATATACTTCAATGGCAAAATTGGTAGCCAGCGAAGCAGCTACTTTTGTGTCACATGAGGCCATCCAAGTTTTAGGCGGAATGGGTTATGTGAGTGATATGCCTGTTGAGAGACACTACAGAGACGCCCGAATTACCGAAATTTATGCGGGGGTTAATGATGTCCAAAAATTATTAATTGCAGACGCAATTATTAAGGAATATGAAGATTAATTTTTTTGTTGTACAACAAATCATCAAATATATATTTTATAAATTATTTGATGCACTTTGATTATTCTTGTTATAATCCAAACAAAAAATGTTCCTATAGTAAAATTCCTTTATTACCTGTGTGTCTGAAAGAAAAAGGAAGTTGGTTTTAATGGAATATTGAAAATATGCTGACCAAAACTTTTCTTATACAACTGGGCATTCCGAAACATGTTAATTTGCACCTTTATGCTGTTACTAAATTTATCGAACAGTAGATTAAGTAAAAAAAAGGAGAATTCGGAATATGAAAAATAAATGCAATTCAATAAATTAAAGCGCAATCTGTGCTATTCTACACCGAAAGCCGGCTTTCGTTCCTACCCAATTACTTCTACGCAACCTGATTGATCTTTGACCCATAGATAACTGTTTGGTTAATCCGCCGTTCTAGATTTTTTTTTTGATATCTTTTTAACAAGATTGTGAGATCGCAGACGCTGTGGCCGTTCTATGCGTTTAATTAATTGCTAACCTATATTTACTGGTTAAAATTAATAAATTGATTCGGCTATAAAATGGAAATGTAACCAGGAAGGATGAATTTGTTTTTCTTTCATTTTATTAAAACGCGTTTATTTCTAGAATTAATTCAAATTCCGCAACTTTATCTAATTATGAAGTGTTTGTCCATGTGCAAAAAATTAAGGCCGCCAAACGAAAACACCAGGGACAACTTGCAACAATAACATATGAAGTAAGAATTATACACAGAACCAGTTTCCAATAACAGTGTTACCTTTTAGACCTTAAGATATTTGGAGGATACACCATGTAAACATCAAAATGCAAAAAATGTATTGGACTGCCTTAAAGCATTAGATCCTTTTAATTTGAATAAGTCAGAGAAGTTAATGCTTATAAACACACCTCCAACCACACCATTGGAAATTCAATTGGTAAGGACTATGTAAAATGTTTTTAATATTTCGATTTAACTTTACGCAGATGATAGAGGAAAGTGAAGAAAGGTTAACAGAAGAGCAAGTTTCAAAAATTTTAGAAATAATTACGGAACACTTTCCCTTTGTAGCAAAACAAATAAAGGTAGAAGAAGAGCAACTGGAATAAACAAATTTTAATTGCTACAAATAAAAGAACAGTTATTATAATTTACAATAATAATAAATTATTTATCTTTTTTGGTCTCCTAAATCTTCAATTAAATCCTCATCAATCTGAAAAAGAAAGAATATCTTCAAATTCCTAGTCATATATTAACTTACTTCTGGCCATTTCTCTGGAATAACATCAAATAAATCATCCTTAACATCACCCTGGATTACAATTTCATCTTCCCCTGTTACTGATGATCCACATGCAAACTTTGTACCAAAAAATTTTGCGGCAACTTTCAAATCAATATCTAAAAATAAATGCAATGAGTGTGATTTCCGGAAATTAGATCCAGACACTTTAAAAAAAAATTACCAAAGCTACTCAGCCCAGTGACTACTGTTACAGACTTCTTCTTCCCTCGTGGGGCCCGAGACACGCAAACTTGCTTAGGTCCTTCTTCCTTCTTTTTAGTTTTGATCATCCCTTTTCCACCCCGCTTTTGCCGCTTTTTTTCTTCCTCGATTGGAGTATCTTCACCAATTTTTACCTTTTCAAATTCAGACGGCAAATTGCGCTCGAGCCATTGTATGCATTTTTCGTATTCTGGATAATATTCGCAATACTGAAACAAGTTTTAGGTAAGAACCAAGACCAGCGCTAAACTTTGATAATGTAATACAAACTTCAATTGGCATTGTACAATTACCGCAATATACAACTTGAATCGGATAAGTGATATTTTCTTTGGGACCGATTTTTAATTTGTCTTCAGTCATTCTCACCACTTATAGCAAACACACCAAGCAGAATAATTTATAAAAACTGGACATTTATCCTAACCTAAAAGTTAAAAAATGTCATTGGAAATAAAATGGTAATTTCAAAACCTTTGATTGGGTGTTCCTTGTGCATACTTAAAATTGACCATTCATAATCTGTGGGACAAATACCTAGAAGCGTCTAACCTTAACCTTAAAATTAAATTTGTTTGGCGGGACTATTTGATGCGAAAACTGAATTTACTTGAATGTGCAAACAAAAATGTTTTAATTTAGAGATGGATAATTCAACAGAAGAAATCGGTACTCAAGAAGAGAGAAGTGAGGAAGATATTTTTAATATACTGGTTGCGACTGATATTCATTTGGGATATGGGGAACGGGATCCAATTAGAGGTGGGTGAAAATTTTACCAAAGAGATGTGATATTAATATTTTCTGCTTTCTAGGTCAAGACACGTTTATAACATTTGAGGAAATTTTAAAAATTGCGCAATGTGAAAATGTCGATTTTCTCCTTTTGGGTGGTGATTTATTTCATGAAACAAGGCCATCAGCTTATTGTCTTTACAAATGTATCGAGTTGTTAAAAAAGTATGATTGCTTGAGTATTTTCATTATGCTATTTAACCTTCTATGTTTTAGATATTGTTTGGGTGATAGACCAGTTCAGATTGAATTTCTTTCAGATCCTTCCCATAACTTTTCTGCTACAGGAAATGACACTGTCAATTATGAAGATCCAAATTTAAATATATCTCTTCCTGTATTTTCTATTCATGGTAATCATGATGACCCAACTGGGGAACACCAAATATCTGCACTAAATTTACTGGCTTCTACTGGTTTAATCAATTATTTTGGGAAATATAACAATCATGCTCAAATAGATATTGAACCAATATTACTTAAAAAAGGCACTACCAAACTGGCACTCTATGGATTGTCCCATGTTAAAGATGAAAGGTTGGGAAGACTCTTTCTAGATAAGAAGGTACCTTACTCCTTTTAAAAAGTATGGATTATTTTGATTCTACTGTTATATTTCAAGGCTACCATAATGACTCCACCAGATGCAAATAGTTGGTTTCATTTATTAGTGTTACATCAGAATAGGGCAAACAGAGGTGCAAAGACATTTATTCCTGATGATACTTTACCTGGAGTTTTGAATTTGGTTATTTGGGGCCATGAACATGATTGTAGAATAAGTGTTGAACGAACAGATAATAATGTCTTTATCTCACAACCAGGTATAACCTCTAAGTTAAGTGTGTGCAGTATTTAAAACTCATTTAGATCAATCTCAGTTAGACTGAAATCTGTTGGTTTTCATTTATAGGAAGCACTGTTGCTACATCACTTTGCATAGGAGAATCTATTGCAAAACATGTGGGTTTGTTAAAAATTTATGGGAGAGAGTTTCACTTAAAACGCATTCCACTAAAAACAGTGAGACCTTTTATATTTCGTGAAAAGTTGTTAAAAGATTTAGATACTATGGCTGATCTGGCAGCCATAGAGTCTCTCACACATTCAGCTAAAGCAATGAAATTTACAGAAATTCAAGTAGAAGAAATGATTGCTGAAGCAAAAAAATTAGGTAAAGGAATTAAAAAAAAAAACAATGAACAATTTACCCTTTTTTTTAGATAGGGAAGGCGACATGTTACCACTTTTAAGATTAAATTTGAGTTACTTAGACGAAAAATACACATTTAACGCAATCAGATTTGGTCAAAAGTTTATTGGCAAAGTGGCTAACCCTGAAGATATAGTAAAGTTGAAGTATGCTGCAACAAAGTCAATAAATAGGAAGAAAGGTGACAACAGCTGGGAAGCAATCAATGCAAGTAGCTGTACAGTGCGCTCACGATAATTGAAATTAGAGAGATCTAGGGGTAAAAGAATTACAAAATTCCCTGTGGTTTACGAGATATCTTGAAAAAAACTTTAATTTTGGACAATAATCTTAAAATCTTTGTAATCCAAAATCTAAAACACATCTAAAAAATATTTTAATTTTAATGACACTCCATTTTTGTAGAGTATTGCCACTATGCCAGCTAGAGTGGAAGATCTTGTTATGCAATTGTTTGAAAAAAATGAGGCAGCCAGTTTGAAATGCTTGTCATTAAAGGCAGTAAATGAAGCAGTGGTAAAATCTATTGATTCCAATGACTCAGAGGCACCTATCCTGGTTGTTGAGTAAGTAAATTTTGGTGAACAATATGTGATATATATGGGTGCTTTTTTTTGGTGATTTAGACATTTGAAAAGCGAATTGCGTCAAAAACTCGAGGAAAACATGGTAGAACTGGAAAATGTGGATGATTTTATAGTCAGGTTTAAAGAGACCAAAGACCTTGAATCTTTGGTAAAATAAAATTAGCAAAGAAATAAAAAAATTTAAAAGCATATTTATTGTAATTGTAGGTTGAAAAAATTCTGACGGACTCAAATCGCCAAACTATACATAGGAGTAACGATGATGATGATGTCGATTGCGACGATGAGAATGAGTGTTCCTTAGCGGCATCCACTAGCAGAGGATCCTTGATCGCGAGTGCCAGGCCAGCCCGAGGACCGGGATCGAGGGGAGGTATGTATAATCTATAATGCGTTTAATGAAATTTTACGTTTTCCTGAAAATTTTGTATTAACTGTTTTATTTCATTTTGTTTCCTATTGTTATAACCAAATCTGAAATTTTAGGTCGCGGTTCTAGAGGTGGGAGAAGAGGTGGAGGAAGAAAAGCCAATCAAATTTAATTACAAATTCTTTTAATGTTAGGTTTACAGCCATTCTGTTTAGTAAGTCAACCACATTGTATTTTTTATACAAAGTAAATCATATAAGTTTATAAATACTTTTTATAATAGTGGGAAAAAAGATACAAATTTCAGTTGTTCCTTATGCAGCTCCTTAAATTTTAGATTCATAATGTGAATTTTTTCTATAACTGATTGAGCAGGTAATTTCCCGCAACTGGGCATTTTTTTGACAATTGTCATCATTTGGGCTTGTTATTAGTGTTTGCTCCTCTTCATTTAGGTACTTCTCTAAAACCAAGTCAAATTTGTTTTTGGATATATTTTTTTTGAATTTGGTTTGGATTTGGATTGTTAATGACTGGACAGAATTTTAATGTTTAGGGGCCCAATTTTTAAACGCAGAATCGCTAGATTTCAACTGAATTTCTAGGTCTAGTGCTCATTAAAGGATATTTTGGGTAAAAATAATAAACAAATCAAATTAAGAAATTTTTAAAAATTTTGCCTTTACCTCTTAAAATTAACATATTTCATAAAAAATATTTTAAAAAATTGGTAATTTTTTGAAACATGGAAAAAAAGTATTGAAAAAATCTTTCAGTTTTATACATATGGGCCAATTTTTAAGAAATTCGGGAAAACTGGATTTTGACCATTTTTATAGGTACATAAGATTATCTCTGAAATCGAATGTGAATGAACTAGACATGTAAGTAGTTTGATTTCAATTGGTATTATCATGTACTAAAAAAGTTCGGATGATTGATTGATTTATTACTTTTGATGGATGAATACCCAGGATTAAAATTTCCGAAAAAAATCATTAATAAGAAATATTCCCATATATGATGTGAAATTTAGTGGTGACACTCTACATTGGATCAGTTTTATTTATCTATTTATTTATTATTTTATTTTTGTATAAATGTCCGGTCCAGCCTCCTTCAAACGCGCAATTTAACATTACCATCGTCAATGCACTTTTCCAATTCATTCACAGAGTTAAAATATTTAAAGTCTTCTCGAATGACTCCTTCAAACATAGATGCCACCTCCTTTCTAGTGTTAATGAAGTACAAAGGTTGTTTTCTGATCATGAACTCATTTATTAAGGCAGCGATTCCTTTTGCTGCCGTAAAATCGGCGCCTAAAAGCAAATATAAATTTATCTATTATCAAAGATTGCAATTGCATTATAAAAATTCTTTAACAGCACCATATTAGTGTCAAACGTAAATAAATGCTACATTTAAATTTTGTTCAACTAAATTTTGCAAAAAAAGAAAAATATAAAAATGATGTACATTTTCATTATATTTTTAGTACTATTTAAAAGTTTTCACATTCTGAGAATTGAAAACAAAAAAGAGAAGACTTGCGAAAAGAAAATATTCTCTATTAACTGTTCGCTTCGTTTTTGATACGATTTTTCACTAATGCCGTGCTGTGTTACCAATTTTTATCCATTTTAGCGTTTCTGGCAGTAAATGCTCACCCAGTATAAATTGACAGTCGACAACAACAGGCAAGTTTTTAGACAACACTCCTGCTTTGGCAACACTGTTTTTAATGAAATCCACCGCCGGAAAATATAAACTATTTCCGGGCGTTATGACTACGTAGTGCTTGTTGTTCGCAGTCTGAAATTAAAAATATAGTTGGAGAAAACAAAAAATTGCTCGTAACAAATTGTTATCATTGATATAAATTTGACAAGAGAACTAAGAAAGGAAATGTTTCCCAATTTTAAAATATTTTTGCATGTGCAGCGTATATATATATATATATATATATATATATATATATATATATATATATATATATATATATATATATTCCACTATATTCCGGGATATCATTCGTTCGCTTATTGAACTCCGACTGGAATCTAGAATATATTAGCCAAGTTACGTTCTATCTACATATTTACCACTAATTTTTCAACGTGAACTTTTGGCCTCGCTGATGGATACAGCAGGAACATAATGTTGATTCCGACTCCTACTAAAATTCCATATTCCACTCCGATGATAAGGCAAAACAAGAACGTTGCAAATGTCGCTAGAAGATCTTTTTTGCTGGTCTGCCACATTGGCTTTACAACTTCGTACTCGATCATAAATATTACCGCACAAATTATGACCGCCGCCAATGAAGCTTTCGGTATATAAGTGAAATACGGAGTGAGAAAGCTTAAAGCGAGCAGGACCATAATTCCTAAAAGTAAATGTTGAATACTTTCAGTATTCCCAGCATTTAGGGACAAAATGAAATAAAAGAAAGTACCTGTTACTACGCCACTGAATGGAGTTTGAACGCCGCTGGCGTGATTTACAGCCGATCTCGAAAAGGATCCTGTGATCGGCATAGATGAGAAAAATGAGCCAATAATGTTGCAGAAGGAGAGAGTGATAAGTTCTTGTGTTGCGTCAATGATTTCTCCACTAGCTAAAAATATTTACTCATTGATAGCAATATTGATTCACCAAACCAGTGAACTTCATCTATCAAAACTGGAATAGGGTTCCGAAAATGCATTTTGTGAGGCAAATTTTATTTAGAGTGAGGCGGGTAGTAATGGGGACTGTTTTTTACACGTTGATGCTGATATAGTAAATAGTGAGCTAACGGGTACCGCTTTATTTATCCTCCTTTGATTTAAGTGGATCCGATATATTTTTACTATTGATGACGGTGATAGCCTAGGGTATGTAGAATATCTACCAATAATTTCATGTTAATTAATATTTTTTTGAATGGGAAATTCTGTGTTGCATATGGTTATAGTAAGTTATATGTTACGGTTGCTGGCAATATCTGGACAATATGTGCAATGACTATTTACATTGATTAGTTTCGGCTTAGTCTGACAGTGTCGTTAAATGCAAAGTCTTGTCCACTGCTCACAATGCCCGATGTTCCACAATGCCCGAGACATATGTAACCGGTAAAAGATTTTTTTTTGAGTTAGTAAACATTTAAACCTATTGTACATCTGACAAATTTCCTTTTTTTGCTTAAGTAATTATGAGTTTATTTTTTCTAAATAGTTCTGAAAAAAATATGTACCGCTAATTTCTCAAATATATTTTTTTAAGCACCTTTAGATTTAAAAATTTTGAATTTCTAAATTTTTTAGATTTAGATTTTTAGAATTTTATTTTATGCATATATTTAAAGAAAATATGGAAAATAAGAATACCTTGATAAATAAAGTTATTAAAGAATGAAAACAACAATCCCCATTACCAGCCCCGACTTTTTCAATTTTAAAATTTATCTCATTCATCTCATTGCCATTCCAGTTTAGATCGAGCCCACTTAACCAAACTAACCAAACGCTTTGGCTATAGCTACATTTCCCAATACAGCGATTATCGGCACTAAGACGACCGAACTTCCCAAATCGCTTAACATGTCGGGAAAGTTTTTCTCTGTCCCGTTAACATTTGTGTGGAAAGGTGGCAGGTTCAGTTCCGGTAACCCGGATTTTATTTTTCCTGTTAGCCGGAAAGGAGACCCGGACCCATTAGTTTCGTACAAATACGCTGCCACGCTGCACGCTACAACTACAATTGCATTCCTCGACGTCGATATGAGCCACAGCACATAATTCGCACAGTTCTCGTTTCTCGTAGGTTTCGATTTTTTCGAACCAAATTTGAAATCTTTCAGTTTCTAAAATTAAGAATCACGGTGCGATGAAACTTTTAGTGTAATGGTATACCGACTCTTAATAGTAGGAGTGCCACGATGCATCCGCTTCCCAAAATTAGGTCGGGAAATTTGGTATCTTGAATATTCTGAGAGAATTTGGTCATAGTATCAAAAAAGGTCGAAGAAGAAATTTTTAGGCCAAAGAGGCTACCTAGCTGCGAGCTACCTATTATCACAGATGTGGCGGATGTAAAACCAATTGTCACTGGCACTGAAATAAAATCTACCAATACTCCTAAAAAATCGGTGGTTCGTGGAAGTACTGTGAATAAGAATTATCTTGACTCTTCTTACCTAAATGTAATACTGCCATGACCAATTGTACAACACCGGAAAGAAAACATAAAAGTATGGCGTAGTCCGTGTTCCGCCCAATTACTTGTTGGTATGTCATTAGTGCCATGAGGGCTGTTGGTCCTATAGTTATGTCCTTAATACTACCAAATATTGTGTATATGAAACATCCTGCGAATGCCGAATACAGTCCGTACTAAAAAATGAACAAGATTTTTCCGCAACAACCTTTTTTGGTGCCTCAATTCCCTCCTAATATTCGCAAGTAATGACAATGTTATTAAGTGATAATAATGAGTAATTTTAAGTACATTTTATTACTTGCGCGGAGAGTCCAAAATACAATTTGTATTTTATTTTTAAAATTACATTTTCTATGTTCCGGTGCAGTTTAAAAACAAACTTCTAGGCACAGCTGGACAACAAAAAACATGGAAGCTGTTGTTAAAGCTATAATTGTCTGTAATCTAGCTTCAGTTCATTTATTGTTTTTGCGAGTTATGTCAAAAAAACAAAAGGAGAAAACTGCTGTTTCCACATTCGCATAAAAAACAAATCGAATAAATTTATGAAAAAAAAATGACAACAATCTGTGTCCTAAGTATTGTGCTGGATTGCACTTCATTTTTACTAAATACTAAATGCCTTAGGTAGTCGGTTTTGCCCGCTTTTTCCTTTAAATTTTAATGAAATATGTTGGAAAAATATAGAGCCACTTACTCGAGCCCGAGATAAATAATTTCTAGAGCGTGGTTCCCGATGGTACCTAATCTTTCCAATGAACCCATGATTTGCATTTGTTTTCACAATAAATATTAAGTAACTTTGTAGTAGTGTTACCTGTGGTTCGAGACCTCCTAGGGTTGCATAGGCCAGTGCCTGGGGCATCACCGTGAGTCCTACAGTGAAACCGGCTATGGCGTCGCTGAGGAATTTTTTCGAGTTGTATTTTCTACCCCATTGCAAAATTGGTACTCTTCGCAAAAAAAATGATCTCAGTGACTTCATAGTGGGCATTGTGACACCTACCAAAAAACAAAGTTCTTGCGAAACTTTACGAATTGTGGGTGCTCAAACGAAACAAATAAAAAACAAAGCGAGAAAGCACGTAATCGTTTTTAGTTTATCGGCTAGCAAAATTATATATTCAGCAGGAAATAATAAAATTCAAATTTCATAAATTTCCTCTTTACCGTGTAGTGTGTAACTTTTTAAGCGCTGCTGCGAGATAAAATCACGGTGTGAAAAGTGCTAATCTGCGAACATTCATTATTTATTTGTTGTATTTTCAACAATGTGGAATAAACGGTTATAAGCAAAACCTGTTTGGCTTTAAAGAAACATTAATGTGAAGATGACGAGTCACGCTGCCAAAACTTTTTTGTTTCACGCTCAAACTTTGCGTACGCATTTTCGCGTCTTACGTACGAAAGCTACCACTCCTTTGTTTTTAAAGGGACGTTTTTAGTCGTTTTCAGCGATCGGAGAAATTTTAACATTCTCCTGGCCTTGCAATAAAAAATATATTACAATTTATAAAACAATTTATCGATGCGATGTAAAAAATCGAGTTCCCTAACTAATAAAATAAACTACGACAATCAGTTTTTACACCGCTGCAAACTTAATCGGAATAGTTAAAAGGGGGTGTAGTAGTAGTAGTAGATCAAATAGAGGTATGTCGAAAGAAAAATAAATAATGTTGAAAAATATCTGAGCCATGGCTAAAAAGTCAGTGCTATGGCTTATTAGGGCATTGATTATTAGAATTGTATTGTAGGTGTAGGTGTATGAAAACAAACGGAATCACTTTTTTAGGAATTAGGGCAATTTACCAGTGTCCGCGCCCCGCTGAGTAGAAAAGCAAACCAATACTCAGCAAGGGTCAGTTCTTCGTTCAATTTCAAGATAAGTTATGCCTTTTATTTCTATATGTCTTAAATACAAATAATAACACACACAATATCAGTATAAAAATTAACACAATATTTGCATAGATAGCTTCTAGGTACATGACATAGGTATATCATGTATGAGCCACAAATTTTCGATAACAGTAAATATGAATTTATAAGTATATCTGGCATGTTGAAATGAGTTAAGCAATATTTTTAGGTGAAATCTTAGAACAGTATTAACGATATCAAAATTTTCTGCGCATCTTTAATATACCCACAAAATATTTTTAAGCTAATCTATAATAAAACTAATTTCATATCCTTTACCTCTGCCGTAAGATATTTATTAAAAATCTATTAAATTTATGAAATTTAAAACAAGACAGATTAGCAACCAATGTGTGACATAACGGTTAATATCGGCAAATTATTTATTACTTATCGTTATTTTGAAAAATCAATATCCGACGACAAATTTGGTTGTTTACTCTGTTGGTTATTTTCCGATTTTTTGTGTTGTTTCTAAATATCTACTAATTAGTTAAACAGTTATTTAAAATGGTTTTCCCTTATTTGTTGTGTGGACAAACGTATTTTTAAAATAAAGACGTCAGATGCTCTGGGATTTTTAACTTTTCTAATTTGGACGGCAAATTTGGTTGTTTGCTGTGTTGGTTATTTTACGAGTTTTTGTGTTTTGTTTATAAATATTAATTAATTAAATTGCGTCGTTTATTTTGTGGAAGAACCTGTAACTACACTTACTAAACTTTAATCTTTGTCATTTTCAAGCGTAGAACGTGATTGGATGAACAGAACGAGATGCCAACCGCAAATATTTGTTTATGTATTATATATAACTTTTGAATTGACACCATTTCTTGATATACCCCTCAATAAAGTATGTTCTTAATGTCGAACACCATGTATATGGCTGTAATTTTTATTAACTACCAATATTAAATTTAGCGGTGCCATTTTAGTATGTCGCCTGCGCAAACTTTGAGTTTTGGTTAGGTTGTTGTGGTTTTACTTAGCTTCAGATTTAAAGAGGTTGGGTAAATTGATAACAAATGGCAAACTACATAATTTTTGGTGGATCGCATTGTTGCCCTTTTACAAGTATAACGAAAAGTGCGAAGATAATGGCACATATTTATGCACCTAGGTACACGATATACCTAAATTATGTACCTAGGTGCAATCTATGCAAATATTATCATCCAGTGTTAATTTATATACTGATTTTGTGTGTTACTATTACACGACGAAGTTATTTTTCCAAATATGTTTTTCAAAAGACATTTCTATTTTGGTTGAGGAATATTTAAATTTACATGCAGTATGGCATATCCTTTTCTTATGAACTAGGCCACATACTTCCCTAAAGTTAAATCTAACTTGTTAGCAATGATTTAATTTAACAAAATTCTAAAAAAGAAAGTTTCGGAAGATGCCAAAGATCGGAAAAAAGGCCTCACATAAAATATATAGAAAGTGCACTTAAGTGAAAACTTACTTGTAGCAGAATAAATATTTATAAAGGGACCATCTTTTAACGTCTTAGAATTCGATGTAGCCTATACTGCTAATGCAGCGTACTTACCTTTAGCGTATACCGATAAGTGATGTTGGTAGGCTAATAATTATGTTTATCTGGAAATCGTTGACCCGGTGAAAGTCATCAGGCGTACATTTTATTCGCGTAGCCCTGGGCAGCTAGTCGCGTATGAGATGCTGAAAACCAAACCACAACATTCGGAAATCAAGTCGCAACAACTCGAAGATCATTTTATATTAAAACCGAATCCGCTTAAGGCTACAACTACAATTGTACTAGATACTGGACAATAAACAAAAAGTTATTGCTTGCGGTGTCTCTTATTTTACGGAAAAATTGCAGTTCCTAATAGTATTAAAAAACCATAGTTTTTAATAATAATACTATAACAGAATCGAGCTCGCGCTCGAGCTTTGAGCGCTACGCGAGACTTTAAAGGTGGATTTTCCAAATCATTTTTCGAATTCTGACATAGGCTGATATCGTGACATAAACTACAAGTGTCAAACTGGCAAATAGTTTTCAAGATATAACATAACATTATGGTAATTTTTTAAAACGTTAAACTAAAAAACTAAACATCTAAACATTGTGATCGATCATTTTAAAGTAAATTTTTTAAAGACTAAAAATAAGTAAAACAAAATGACATGCAATATTAAAAAACAAAATTCGAAAACTAATTGCAATTAGACACTTTTATTTCAATTGGCAAAATCACTCTTAAAATACTAAAAATAAGTCCCCTTCAAAAAATGGAAATTTTTAGAAATAAGAAAAAATGGACTTTTGAGAGTAACCTTGTAGCTTGGACACTAGTTTTCGAGTTTACAGTACCTAAACTATTTGTTAGAAATACCCAAAACCATCAAATCCCATCGAAATTGCCAATGCTTATTTTTAAAAAATTACCTTGTCTTTAAACATAACTTCCACGTGCAATCCCTTTAAATGTAGGTAGAACATAAATCGTACAAACCCGCTGCTTATTGATTGTCTTCGACTGTAGATAAATCACCACTAAGTCGGCACTGGGCCATGATATTAAATTTATACACTCCGTCGAGAACAATGTTTTTTGTTTAAAAAATTTCTAGAAATAAACGAGTTACGATTTTTGCGATCTTGACACAGTGGAATCGTTTCGCAATCCGGTATCCATAGATAGTTGGAAAAAATGTACAAAATATAAAATATCTATAAACAAACGCATTTTACTGCGATTTGTTCGAAATAATAATTGTTAACGAATAATCTACGTTTAATTAACTTGTGGGTATAGTAGGTGCCTTTTTTTACACATTATTGGGAAAACTTCCACAAATTCTTAGCTTAATGCGTTAGCACGTGATCCCCGTGTGAGCGACCACAATCTGAATGTGACCATGCCCTCAAAATATTTATGTTAGAGCTTAATAATTTTGGCGTAAATATCGTTGTCTAAAGCTTCAACCTTGACCGGGCCCATTTGCATCCACGATACGCATTCGTTGCGCACCGTGTATCGATCAGTGAAATTTAACCTGGTACATAACGGATGACTAACTCATATCCACATCCACTTGTTGTGGACCACATGGTCAAGGTCAAGCAATGCCTGGATTCAAATTCAGAAGTTTAAAAATGAAAAAAATTAGTTAATAATTACTAAGACTCGAATATCGTTTGTTTACATAAAGGATTAATAACTAGTTAAATAAAAAATGACACTGATTTCAGTTTTATTTCAATTTTCTATTCTTTCCGATATGTTCATACATATATGTTATATGAAGCACGAATAAAACATATATAAGCAAAAGTTAGCAGTCATTTTTTGCAAGAATCCGATTACAAAACGTATTTATTTTTTACATTGCGTGACCTTGATTTTTGCGTTAATCGTTTCACTGCATTGAAGTTATTGAAGCGTATTCAATAATGTTTTTGTGGGGTCTTGCGAAAACACGTGCAAAAATAGTTTCAGTGAAGTCTGCAGGCGTACGGATAATTTATTATACATACCTAGTTTTTTTGTATTGAAAGACCTTTTGGTCAAGGTCAAGAAAAACGAAAAAAGTAGTCAAAAAACAGTTTTTTTTTTCTGTCATTGCATAAGTTCTTTAAATTTAGGTAGAAAGAATGGTATGTTTTGTGTTATTGAACCCCCCTCAACTATTTCAAAGAAAAGTTAAGAATATGCAGAAATTGTGTTTTGAACTATTAACATGTTCATATTCTGTCTTATTGTTATTATTAACATAAACTTATTAGTTCAATTTTTCCACCATATTTGTAACGCGATATCTGAATAAAGGTTCCTTTTTGTCCATCGTTTATGTGAACTATTCTTGTGCAAGCATTTACTCCCACTCACACCTTGTATAATAATGTCTTGCCGATTGATATCTATGTTGTCAAAAAACATACAAACAACGCAGCACAGAAGTTCGATTTTCTAAAGGTACGAAATTAATTAGCCCATAATTACATTTCAGAAGCATCTAGACACACTGTATATAAAATATTTTTGAAAATTTTAGACTTACCTATTTAGCCAAACTTCCGTTTCCAATTTCCTCCATGTTTAAAATGAAAACTCACATCATTTCATATTAAAATTTGTATTTAAGGGAAAATAAATAGTCAAATATAACAAAAACAACCTAATGTAGTAGGCCCTAAAATAACCTGTTTGATGGTGTCCTTATCGCCTAAAGTTGACGTCATAATTGGGTAGTGACTGCTTCTACACTTCCATTGCTCACTTGTTTATCTGTTAATAAAAAAAAAGATCACCCGGCAAGTACCACCACATTAGTGAATCGTGATAAAGATGAACGTGTGAAATAGTTTGTTTTCTGCCGTTTCTAGCAATTTAACGTAAATTCATCGCACCACAACACACGGAAACTCTGTAGCGGTCTGAATCTGAACGAATAGAAACGATTCCATTCATTTCCATTACCAAACATGTGTTTAAAATCAATAGCGCGCATCGCAGCGGATCGGGAAGACAGTGTTGCCAGACCGTCGCCTGTTTTTACTTGCACATGGCTTTCAGAATTTACATTTTAAGAACATATTTGTTCGATATGGGAACAGTCGAACAGTTTTATGTTTCTTCTCACATTTCCTGGTAGCAGTTCAATATTAATCGTAAATATTAGTTACGAACTCAGACTAAATAAATTCTTAGTCATAAAGCTTATCGTTTGATTAACATAGATAATTTAACCATTGATAAGGTTAAGGAGAAATTGAACGTGAAAACGATTTTAATATAACGCGTTGTAATAACTACACATCTCCAAAAATTTACTTGTATAAAAACTTTGCTACAGGAACTGAGTTTCAATAGTAACAACTTTGCAAATTATCTTCAGCTCCAGGGGTTAATCGTAATGTAAATTCAAATTTGTAAGTACATATAGAACTAGATTATGTTATTAACTAATTTGATTTTTACCGATTTTATCGTTACCTACCTGAAAAATAATCCTCAAATTCGTTTATAGACTTGAAAATAAGCACCTGGGGCCCACAAATATTGTGCAACATATCTTGAAACCTACCGGGTGCAAGAAACGCTACCTTCTTGCCGGTCTTCTGCAGATCAGTTGCCAACGCCCCCAAACACTGAAACATCGATAAATTCGCATCAATATTAGTAAATATTTAGTAAAATACTGGAAAAATTTCAAAATGCGTTCAAAAAATCTATAGGGTAACCTTGATGTAGCAGCCCCTAGCTGTTATAAAGTCTTGGTTAGTTAGTATCGACAAAAGCAGTTGAAATTAAAAAAGAAATAACGACTTATTTGTGATTACTGGTTAGTATTGTAGCTAATAACATTGATAACTGAATAGCTAAGATACTAAGTCTATTAATGTTAGAATGAATTGAATGAATTAATTTGTTTTGCTGTTAACTTGAACATATTTTTTCAAATATTACCTATATAATAATACAACAAAAGACACATACATAATATAAATAAATAAAAACAATATACGAAATATATAAAAGGAAATAAACAAAATTAGGTAAAAAATGAAAATACCTTTCCTCCGGTAAAGTCGATCTGATAGATCCTGGTGCAGTCGATTAACACGGTGTGAAAGTTACTTTCTAAATCGACACACTGTTGGAGGATTCTGTCCCTTATGTACTCTGCCGATGAGAAAAATACCGATGCAGTCAGAATTACGTTAAGGTATGATTTTGCGTTGGATACCTTCAAAGTAAGATTGCTGTATAGGAATGCACGGATGTTTGGTTTACAAAAAAGGTATACCTACCTTCTCCGTCAAAATTTTTGGTCTCGCTGAATAGTATAGCGTTTTAATAAGTTCCACTAAGACGCCTATTAAAATCCCAAGTTCGATTCCGATTAATAAGCAGGATACGAAAGTTATAAAAAACGGAACCAGATCTATTTCTAAAAAATAAGAAGTAAATGTTACGTACTTACAGTTTTAATAAATTGTCGCTGGTAAACTTCCTATTATTAAAATTAAAAGCCTTATCGATCCAATTGAAATATATATTTGTTTACAACTTTTATTTCCTTTAATTTTGAAATAAATCGCCAAAAGAGTGGGGAGCTGATTTAATTCTACTTCACAGTTTTTATGAGCAGTTTTGTTTTTGGCAACTTACTTTCTTCTTACTTCTTACTTGAGTATCAGTGGCAGTAGTTGAGAAAAATCTATTTGGATCTCACAATTAAATACCTATTTCGATAAAATTCAAGTACCTTATTCATTACTGTGCCTTATTATTATTTGTGCCCATAATGACTTTCCAAAATACCTATTGCAAACAGGTCGGTTAATGAAATATATTCTATTTGTAACTTTTTCTGAACATCTTCGCCTAACTTTTCTGAATGTCAATAATATGAACAATATCACGGATCTTCTTAACACATTAGAATCCGCTGCATTAAAATTATATTTGCACTTTCAAATTTCGCAACCAATTCAATGAAAGTGCGATCCTTTCTGTGAAATTTAATCGTTAAAACTATAATAAAATTTGTGGTTTCCGTGTTACTGATATTATGAATTAATTGATTATAATACTTACACCCTTATTATACAGATCAACTCTTGTTTTTTTTTGTTATCATTTTATTATTATACTTACTATTTAATTTCCATATCAATTTGGTAATAGCAACCTCTACCATAAATATCACAGCGCATATTATCACGGCCGCTAGTGTCGGTTTCGGAATGTATGAAAAATACGGGGTCAGTAACGTCAAAGCCATAATCACCATTACCCCTGGAATAAATTCTGTTGTTTCGAGAATATACAGGGTGGTCCGGAATTAATTCGCCCTTAGTCAATTCAACTCGTGAAAATTGGTATTTAATGTTTCTTGTTACTTTCAAAAAATCGGAGAGATCGAATTTTTCGAGAGTATCCATACTCATATACAAATTTTATAAGGTTGTTCGGAAAGTCATTTCGTTTTTTCCCGTCAGAGGATTTAATTACGTTTTTTCGAAACCAACTTCACACTTAAGCCGCATAACCATTATATGTCTTGAGAGCTGATATTACAAGGCTTGTGTGTGAAAAAGTTCTATTAATTCTACGCAGTAGTTTTTGGTTGGTGCCCTTTTAAATATGGAGAGCAATAAGCAGCATTTTCGTCATATTTTACTTTTTTACTTCAGAAAAGGTAAAAATGCTGTCCAAGCGAGAAAAAAATTGACGGATGTGTATGGAGAAGGCGTGTTAACAGTACGCCAGTGCCAGAACTGGTTTGCAAAATTTCGATCCGGCAATTTTGATGTCGAAGATGCACCACGGTCTGGAAGGCCGGTCGAAGCTGAGAAAGATGCGATAAAGGCATTAGTTGATGCAAATCGGCGAATAACCACACGAGAGATCGGTGAGAGATTAAATTTGTCGAATTCGACTGTTTATGGCCATTTGAAAGGCATGGACTTAACCTCGAAGCTCGATGTGTGGGTGCCCCATGTCCTTACGGAGCGAAATTTGTGTCGTCGCGTTGACGTGTGTGATTCGCTCCTCAAACGTCAAGAAAATGATCCATTTTTGAAGCGGATTATTACTGGGGACGAAAAATGGGTTGTATACAACAATGTTAAACGCAAGAGGTCATGGAGCGGAAAAGATGAACCGGCTCAAAGCGTGTCAAAAGCCAACATTCACCAAAAAAAGGTGATGCTCTCCGTTTGGTGGGATGTCAAAGGAATCGTTTTTTTTGAGCTTTTGCCGGACAATACAACGATTAATTCAGAAGTCTATTGTCATCAACTGGACAAATTGAATCATTCACTTAAAGAGAAGAGGCCCGAATTAATCAACAGGAAGGGTGTAGTGTTCCACCAGGATAATGCGAGACCTCACACAAGTTTGGTCACTCGCCAAAAACTTTTACAGCTTGAATGGGACGTACTGCAACATCCACCATATTCTCCAGATCTGGCGCCTTCCGACTACTATTTGTTCCGGTCCCTGCAAAATTTTTTGGATGGCAAAACCTTTACCTCAAATGAAGATGTCAAAAACCACCTGAACCAGTTTTTTGCTAGCAAGGACCAAAACATTTATGAGAGGGGAATTATGTTACTGCAAGAAAGATGGCAAAAGGTGTTGGACCAGAATGGCCAATATATAACTTAATAAAATATTTATTCATTATAAGAAAACTGTCTTTCATGTTCCCCAAAAAAAAACGAAATGACTTTCCGAACAACCCAATATGTCTCCTACGGACCGCCATCAGTACAGAAATGATCAGCATAAAAAAATGTCTGTTTGTCTATTTTCCGTTCTTCGTTCTCGTCTTTTAGTTTTTCCGAAATAACTTTCTAACCGTTTGAGTTACGAAATTGAGATATGCCAAATGTGGCAAATAAATAGCTTTTGATAATATGACGGAATTTATTGAAATTGGTGAGGCGAGGGGGTCAGGAAGTATTTAAAAAAAAATAAAAATTGCGTTTTCAAAGGTCTAAGAAAAAGATAATTTCTCGAAAACAGATTATACTATCGAAAAAGTGCAATAAATCTTTATTCTTGGAAATTTTCAAAAATATACATGGTATGTCCGGTACAAAAAACTTAATAAAAAAAGGCTATAACTAGAAGGCTGTTTTCAAAATAACTTTTGTATTTAGGATTTTCACCTACTCTACAGAGTGTTCCGGATATTCCATGCTATATAAGAGACGTATTAAGTGTCCTAAATTTGCAGCTATCAACTTCAGATTTCGCAGTGAAGTAGCTGAATTATAGTATGTAGGATATAGTACCCAGCGCCTTCTACACATAATTGTATTGACCATCTTGAAAAACTCCCGAATTCAAGTTTCCCGGTCGATATGTCAAAAACTGCTTGAGAAATAACAATTTAGAGTACTGAATTTTGGGACCCATTATATCGCTAATGCGACATTATGGTAAGGCTGAACGTCATTATTTTCACGATTAGAACGTAAGTTTGCATTTTGGTTTTTTATTACGGACCACCGTATTTACATCGTACATCCTATTTACCAGTGTATAGTCCCGCCAGTGGCGTCCGGACGCCGCTGGCGCTGCTAACTGCGGCCCTCGAAAAAGACGCGTTCACCGGATAGGATCCAACAAACGCCCCAACGATGTTACATAGTCCCACCGCTATCATTTCTTGGGACGCGTCCAAGACTTTTCCGTGAGCTAAAATAAAATGTTCTACGTGAATCGCATTTGGTTAAAACGTCCTGGACATTATACCAAAGGCTTTTGCTATTCCAACGTTAGCGATGACCGCGACGAATGGAATAACGACTATACCGTAGCCCAGTTCTGAAATCATCTCGACCACAGTAGTACCGTTGGTGCCATTGCTTGGGTGTATTGGATGCAGCGGAAACGAGACGGCAGGTAGGCCTGATGGTACCTGGGCTGTGATATTGGTGTGAACAGAGTAAAAGTTAAAGTAAGTAAGAGTAAAAATAGTGGGAGATTTATTATAACACGGATCAGGAAACTGTCAATGTTGACTATTAGTCAAAATAAACGTTTCAGATAATAAATATTACGCTCGATTTGATGGCAAGTGGAAAGTAGAAAGAAAGTGCTCAGAATTATTCAAAATGTGCCTTGCAAATTATATTTTTCAAATAAGTTATTTATTGTCATCTATTTGCCTATGCTGCTGGCACTTTTAAAGCCAATATGAAGAACCGTTGAGGAGGGACATTCACGATGCGCATGCGCGTGCTAATTTCAAGATTCCAATGAGATCTGTCATTTCAAATCTAGATTTCAAGTGTCATATAGGGAGCACATAACACGCTTATTGATTTATTATTTTCCCAAGTCTTAAGAGAAAAACATAGGTTGTCGCCATCCTTCTTCTCCCATCCTGTTCCTCTCCTTAAAGTTCACAATACCAAAATATAAATTTGAATTTTTGGTTCGTATTA